TGCCTCCAGTCCAGATCAGCCCCGGCCGGGGGCGACGACCGGCGCCGGCGGCTGCCTATGTAGGTATCTACGACACGCACAGATGACTCGGCGCTTACCTACTATCCGCTTTGATTCCACACTATTTAAAAATATTACAATAAAATAGTCTTATATGCTATATTATAATTATTTATTCACTGATACACAATACCTTTGAATATTATTTCATAAAGCACAGGTAATTAATCAATAAAATAAATCTTCTGTTAGAGCAATTAAAAATCCTATAAAGTTAATATGACTGTCACGATTTTAAATCGGTAAAGACTGTCTGTTAGTGTAAGAACTTCTTTTTTATTGTTGATGTTAGTTGCCTCGTTTAATTAAAACTTGAGCAAACGGCGAAAAATTATACAGAGCAAATCGGTTTAACTTACGAGCTTAGTGAAGGAAATAACTCTTCGTGACTGATTTGCCCACGTCATGAAATTCCAAACACATTTAATCACAGTCACAGTCACAGTCACACACACACACACAATATGTTGTTTTGCGGCAAGCACGGTCGGGCGACGCGCCGCCCGCGCGCCCGCTGGCAAGACAAGTGCAGCGCTGGCGCCGGTCGCGACGTCTTTGATGATGTGAATCCGTTTTCGTTTATAGTGCGCGTTTTCCTTTCAGAGAAGAAAGAAACAGCACGATTCGCCAAAGTTTCGCTAAAGGTGCGAATACACTAAATCAGCAATAGCGATGTATTGAACAATCTGACGCTAGTTCTCCAACATTTTTATCAACAAATGAATGAATTGTTGTGGATACAACAACTTTATAATTTTGAAATGTTAAATGTTTATCATGTTGTTCGATTAAGGCACTTCGCGCACTAGACGACCGCGGCCACGATCAGTTGTGGACGTGGCCACAACCTTGGTCGCAGAGGCGGTTGGGCTGCGGCTGCAGTCTGCGGCCACGACCACGACTGGTCGTGACGCTACCATATTGCTGGTCGTTTATTTCATTAATTAATAACTCTGTATCAAAACTTATTGTAGAAAAAAACGTCGTCATATTCAGTCGAAGAACGGTATGAAACATGTTCATTCACGAACTGTCTGCATGACCTTGACACTGAGATTGACCGCATTCGCTGTCGCAGATCTAGTGCGGGCCAGTACGACTGGTCGTTGCGACTATCTTCCGTATAGCTGGCTATGAGCGCTCGCACTCTAGATCTGCGATCGCAAATGCGGCCTGGTCGCTTCAGCCATTCTCAGTGTCATGCTGATAGTTCGTGAAAGAGCACGCTTCGTATCGTTCCGCAACTCTATAGGACGAAGATATTTTTCTGCAATGAGCTTTGAAAGAGTTATTTATTAATGAAATAAAGAAACGACCAGTAATATGGTCGCTTTACGACCAGTCGTGGTCGTTGCCACAAACTTGTCCGCAGCCCAACCGTAGCTTCTGCAATCAAGGTTGTGGTGACGGCCACGACCACGGCTGGTCATGGTCGTGGCCTAGTGCACGACGTGCCTTAGTTAATCTGGTCCTCGCGGCTCCTGGTCGTGGTCATAATCGTCTAGTGCGCGAGGTGCCTTACTGAGGCAGTAACAAATATCAACGGCAGTTTTTTTTGTAAATGTTTGACTATAGAAATACAAGGCTTTACTTTAGTCTTAGTCTTAGTAAGTAGTACGGCGCGGGCTATTTCGGCATGATTATGTGAAAGCACCTTAAAAAGTCCTGCCTTTTATGTACGCCGACGCTCGCCCGCCCACCTCCCCTCTTTCCCGCGCGCGGTGCTTTGCTTTGATTGCAATGCATGCAAAGGGCAGTCGCAAGTATATCAATCGCGCGTGCGCATCTTTTGACTTAGTGACAAACACTGTGATAATTTCATTATGCCTCGGTATACGAACCAAGAATATTTAGAAATGGTGTACTGCTATCGCGAGTGTGACGAAGTGCTCAGTAGAGCCGCAAGGCTTTACGAAGATAGGTTTGGTTTACGAGTATGTCCGCAAACCATACTCAACGCCGTATACAGATTCCGCGAAACTGGACTCTTCAACGCACCGGCGACTGACTCTGGGCGACCTCGTATTTATACCGATTTGGAAGAAGAAATTCCGGTTTTCTTCCGTCAGCATCCAATGGCAAGCACCAGAGATGCCGCAGCCGTATTTGGTGTAAGCCAATATTACGTGTGGCGGCTTTTACACGAAGAGGAAGGCAGTCCCAGCTATCCTTATCATCTGACCAAAGTGCAAGAGTTGGCGCCACCGGATTTACCAGCTCGGCTGCAGTTCTGCACGTGGCTACGCGAAGAGCGCCGTCAGATTTTGAGGACAGATGAATCTACATTCACCCGAGTTGGAATGTTTAACATTCACAACTCCCACTTTTGGAGTGACGTGAACCCGCGTCAAGTCAGACCCTCACACTTCCAACGACGCTTCAGTGTGAACGTGTGGGCGGGAATCTTAGGAGACCAACTTCTCGGGCCAGTGTTTTTAGACCGCTTAAATACGGACAATTATCTAGACTTGCTGCAGAACCAAGTCGAGAACATGCTGGAAGATATCCCTTGGTCTTACCATAGAGGGATGTATTTTCAGCATGATGGGGCTCCCGCCCATTACTCTCAGCGGGTGCGGGACTACTTGAGTGATACGTATGGCACAAGGTGGATCGGTCGTAGGGGACCAGTGCCGTGGCCCGCTCGTTCTCCCGATCTAACACCAATGGATTTTTTTTGTGGGGTCGTATTAAAGACCTCGTATACGGCCAAACCGGACACGACATTAGTGATAACGAGGAACTAAAAAGACGCATAGAAGTTGCATTTTGTGCAGTGAGAAGTGACAGGGACACTTTAAAAAAGGTAGAAAGACACGTCCGCAAACGTGCCTACCTTTGTTTGCAGCAAAATGGTGGTATAGTGCAACAATTTTGCAAATAATAATTTTAGTCTCTTTTTTTGCTAGCGTAAATACTTTTTGATTCGAAACAACTAATTAGTGTACTACCAGTGTGATTGATTTGATAAAAAGTTCTAGTGAAAAAAATGAATATGTTCCTCGTTCCTCGTTGTACTTACTACATCGCCGGTCTCGTAAGTACTGTCTAATACCTAGTTATAAATTTCTTTCTGACCCAAGTATTAAACTGCAATAAGTATTTGTTTTTGTAACAAAATTATTATTAACTTTTTAGGTATTTTTCTCTGCTAATGAGAAGATAACACTTGTTAGTATGAACACAGTATCTCGAGGTCGTAGTCTCACTGTACTGTAGATAGGTACGCGCCGCGTCAGCTGTGCGCGCGCGGTCGTTCCCCCCGGCGTCGACCTCGCCTGGCCACATCAACTATTTTTCGTTTATTTTAATAGTGCTTATTTATTTGTTATATTTCACTTACTATGAATACGTGTTTAAAAATAATTATCACTCAAAAGGAGGAAAGGACATAAAAATGCAAAATAAAAAAAATAAAAAACGAAAAAAATAATTTTAAAAAAATCCGAAAAAAATCAGGTATACTCTATACACGTAACCCAACAATCTCACGAAGTTTCATAGAAACATTCAATTTCACCCTGTATTTACAGGTTTTCTGAATGAAAATAGGAGGAATTCCATCTAGGCCCTTACTTATATCTAACCTTGAGATAATTTTCATTATCACACGTTCTGTAATACTGATGCTACCCAAAGAGAGCTACGGGTACATGTCGCAAGGTACAGCGTTTTCCGTTGTTTGTCCGCGGTTGCTATGAGAGTAAACACTGGAAAAGTATTTCGCAAACAAATTGCATATTGCGTCACCGGAATTTGCAGTCTCAGAATTTAAGTGTGAATTTAAGTAATAGCAAATTTTCGTTGGAGCTGAATAGGATTCCGAAATTTCGTTTCGTGTCTTGTTATTAAGGGGATGGCCTAAATAATCTAAATAATATTTCAAAATCAGACCAATCAATCCACGAAGGTCATCAAATACACATTTTTTATTTAAAACTGGCAATATCCTAGCAACTAGTAAAGTTTCAGAAACAGTGTTTACGGTCTTATTTTATAAATGTAATGAACCTCATAAACAGTTTATCAACAAATGTTGCCTACTGAAAACGCGGAAAACACTTGGCAGAAGTTGTCATTGGGCAAATACTTAGCCGGTATCGTCATGAGCTTATTACTGTCCCCATTTGCTGGGGCACAGGCCTTCTCTTTGGATAGAATATGGAGATAGGGCCATAAACCACTCCGCGGGTCCAGTGCGGACTCTCGGGTGCGAAAAAAAAGTTATGAGTAGTCATGCTCTTTTAAAAATCTCTTCGGCGGTGTCGTGTGAGGCGGGTGGGTCGTTACGTTCCCTAAAAAATGGTTGAGCGAAGCGATGGCTGGTTCATGCGTCATGCTCGTGAACGGGTGCTGCCAGCGGAGATGAGTCTGCTCTTGCTACATTGGGTACTTACTATTAATCGTTGTATTTAACTTTAATGGTACATTTGTTTTTATGCGTAAACAGTAGAACACGGCATTCCTAAACTTTTTTTATTTTTAAATATGTTTTTTATATTTTTTATTTTATAGTCATAATTGTTTTATCATTTACATTTTGGAAAGTGACTTCATGAGTTATCTCATATTGAAGTCATTTTTCAAATTGACGACTCTGTATATAATACAGGGAGAAAAAAACAGCCCTTGCCGAGTTTCTTGCCGGTTCTTCTCAGTACAAGGTCTCCCGCCGTAGATTTGCGAACCGATGGCGTAGCTTTTCGACATTCACAAGTGCTTGTAACAGCCTAGACTGAATAAACGATATTTAATTTTGAATTTTGAAAGATTGCGGATGCAGCCGGGACGAATAGTTTAACGTAATTTCCAAAACACGGAGGAGCTCGACATAGTGAACTTTTGGTCACCCATATAACGACCGACGACTGCGAAAGTTGCTTCAGTTCAGCGAACGCGCCATCCACTCTATAAGTAGGTATAGTCGTCGTTGTTATCAGGCGTGCTCGCGGCGTGCGGGCGGCGTGCTCGCAGGAGTGCGGGGCAGGCTCGTGGGCGCGGCGCAGCGAGGGCGAGCGCGCGCGCTGCTGCTGGACGTGCGTGCCGTGCGCGACGCTCGCCGTCACCGAGCCCACCGGCTGCCGGCTCTGCCCGCCCGGACACCGCCCCGATGCACTGCGCAAAGGTAAGCTAGCTAACTAAGTGTGACCCCACACTAGCGTCCTTTGAGCGTCGGCGTCTTGGCGACCTTCCCACACTAGCGTTTTTTGGGCGTTGCGTCTACGCGGCGCCCGCGCAACGTCGGCGCGACGTTTGACGACGAAAACGACGATCTTTGATCATCAAATTTCAATTTTTTAACAAATAAATGGTATTCTCCGAAACGTTTCTTTTATCTATTTATAGGATGTATAGCTTTTTTTCGCATTTTTAAATACACATTTTCTAACAAAACCAAATCATCGTCAGATGAGTCCGACATTTTGCTTGTTCTGCTTTAATCGGCTTCCTTTATGTAGCTTTAATCGGATTCCTTTATCCGATAAGCGCCGATCGGCTTTCGGCTTTCTTTCTGTATACGGCCTAAAGCGTCAACGTTGTAACTGAGGTGCGGAGGGGTAGCCGGTAGCGGGCGGGCCGAAGCGATTGGGTTGATCATTGTACTATTGACAAAATAAACGCTGCGCAGAGGTCGCGCAGACGTTGCGCCGGCGCGACGTCTGCGTAGCGCAGTCCCGACGTTCGTCACGTCGGCAAGCTCCAGCGCCCTATTCGAACCACGCCGCTGCGCAAGCTTTGCGTCGGCGTCGCGTCAGCGTCGCGTGGGCGTCGACGCTCCAAGGACGCTAGTGTGGGGTCACGCTAACATTTTATGCATCGTTCGAGATCAACAACAATATTATTGTTCCTTTAAAGTTTACCTACGTCTACTGTTGGTCAGGCTATTCGCTAGTTCTGAAGATTTATATTAATGGACGCAGGCTGGTGGTCACCTACATTTTTCTTGTCCCTAGTGTTTCTTAAGAATCGCTCGTTTATCCTATCGTATGTGAACAGCACATGCCGCTTTTTATAATATTCTGGCTGGTCGTAGAATGCATACCGTCCCCGATCGAGTGGGGCGGCGGTGGTCGGTGGGCGCGGGCGGTGTCGCTGGCGGCGGGCGGCGGCGGGCTGGCGGCGGTGTGTGTGTGCGCGGCCACGTTCTGGCGTCACCGCGCCACGCCCGTGGTGAAGTCGGCGTCGCGCGAGCTGTGCGCGCTCCTGCTGTGCGCGGCCGCCGCCTGCCACTGCGCCGCGCTCGCGGCTGTCGCGAGACCTGCCCCCACTGTTTGCGCCGCGGTAATTATATGTTTCGCTACCTTTCTTTGGCTAGAATATGGTTTAATTTGTTTTTCAACCTTTTCAAATGAGGGAGGTTTTTTTTGTACCTATAAATCCTATATTCATCTAATGCATCTTCCACACCTCCGCGACGATAAAATTACGCGTTCGTAATTTGAATTTGATCTATCGTAAGTACGTTCCTTCAGCTGCACATAAAAATTAAAATTAAAAAATAGTTTATTGAATTTAAGCTGTTACAAGCACTTGTGAAGGTCGAGAAGCTTTTTCAGTTATTTGTATATACATATGTATATATATATATATGTGATATATAGATGTATCTTAAAATCATTTATAAACATGGCTTACTCTAAAGCTCTAATGAAATAAACAGAGACTATATTATATTTGACTTTTTAGTGCAGTAGGTTGAAACGTCTTTATAGTTTTTTAAACTATTAATTTTTGTAGGTGCGGCTGGCGGCCCCCGCGCTTGGCGGCGTGTACGCAGCGGTGCTGGCGCGCACGGTGCGTGTCGCTCGACTAGTGCAGGCGGCGGAGCGCCGGCCTGCAGCTCGCCCGAGGTTGTTGTCTTCGCGTGCACAGGTATCTAAACATACATATATTTAAATTACACATGCTATTGACTACTGCATATAAACTGCTAGCACCCACCTGCCGCTTCACCGGTTAACTATAGTTTTTTGAGAATTCCTCAGGAACCCAAAATTTCTCCGGGATAAAAAGTGTCCTATGTAATAAACAATATGTGTTGGCATACATCATCATCAAATCCTATCAGCTCTTCATGCGTGATTGACTAATAAATAAACTCATTTCCGCCTTTAGAAATTAACTAGGATATCCTTGAAAGAAAGGGATATTGTATAATTGTAGGGAATTTATTAAATTAGGTGTGGACATGGGCAGCGTTGAGTGGTCCCGGAGTGGCGACGGCGGCGTGGAGCGCGCTGCGCTGGCCGGCGACGCCGCAGCTGCTGCACCCGGGGCGCGCGCGCGCCGTGCTGGTGTGTGGCGGCGAGCTGGCGCCGGCGCAGCTGGTGCCGCTGGCGCCGGCGCTGGCGCTGCTGGCCTCCTGCGTCGCGCTCGCCATCCGCACTCGCCGCCTGCCGCACAACTTCAACGAAACCAAGTTCGTCGGCGCCGCGGCTTACGCCACCTGCGTCACTTGGGTGGCGTTCTTCCCACTGTATGCTGCGACGGAGGCGCGCACTGCCACACTGTGCGCGTGCGTGTCGCTATCGGCGGGCGCGTGCGTGGCCTTGTCCCTCGGCCCGCGCGTGTGGGTGTGCGTGTTCCGCCCCGAGAGAAACACTAGGGCCCACTTTCTCACGGCCACTTCTATACGTTGTCACCTGGGCAAGTATCGGCCGGGATCCGACGCTCCTGCGGGTTCTTTAAACTCACCGAGAAAATGCGCAGGTAAATTACTAATAACTAAACCTATCAAGCAAGTCAGGTAGTCAAAAATTGTTTTTTCATTCTTTCCTTGAATAGCCCATTTTTGACAGACTTCATTTATATGTTTTTTTGAAGTTATACTTCTTTAGGCGCGTTATGAAAAAATGATGAGAGTGAAATTTTAAGATGCGCGCGCATCACTGTAACACAAAAATTAAATGTTTACCGCACATTAAGAAAATCTACCAACAAAATAGAAATAGAATCTCTATTTAGTGGGTGCTAACGACTGCATTGTGAAGGCCTATCAAAAGTATTTATTAATCTGGAACAACGGAACCAAAGCGCGATTCAGGAGACTACAGCGCCATCTCTTGACCATTGGTGTAGTAGAACCAAAAACCACATCTTTATTTTTTGTAATAAAGTAACAGTTATATTATATTCAGTAGCGATTTTAATTGAATATTTTGATTATTTATTTATTTTTTCAAATTTATTGACTGTATCCTTTTCCAGACTTTTTATTAATTTATTGTAATTAATTATTTGCATGCAATTAAAAACTAATTTTAAACGATGCCAAAGAAGGATAACTTCTCACGCGCCTACATAAGTACACGCACCCATTTTTTTAACAATCACTTCTTATTGTTTAAAAACAGAACTTCGTGATGCATCCTGCCAAGTGACTGGAGACAACAATAGTGACCAGAGGAGTAGTGCGGCGGGCGGGTGGTGCGAGGCGTCAGGAGTGTGCGCGCGCGTCACCCGCATCCCCGTCGCCGTCGCCGCCGCCGCCGCTGCTCCTGCCACCACCTGCGACCCCGACGACGCTGATGCGACTGATGTAGCAGACGTCCTGATTGTGTTGTTCCACCACCGCCACGCTCTGCACTCGCCATTGCTCGAAACTGCCAATAAGAACCATGCGAATTCAGATCCAATATAGACCGTTGATTAACATGTCGAATAATTCACAATGGTAATATTTAATAGGTCTGCCGAAATATCTCTTTTTTAATAAAAATTAAACAAAAAATAACTTTTTTTCTTGTAAAAGTCACCTTTATCCCCTTTTTTATAAATAGGTCTTACAACCCACTACCCCACCTGATGTTAAGTAACGGTGAAGTTCAGACTTGAAAATAACTGATACAGCAGAGCTACGTAACACACCAGCCTTTCTTAACTTGCCTAATTGCACATTGCCTTCTCTTTCAAAGGATCCTGGGTTGTAGAATGAAGGGAACACGTGAGCAGGCAAAGCACTCCATTTGCGGATAGTGCGACAAAGAAATGAATCACCAAATTTCTTTATTCACTTTGGAATAGTGGCCGCAGTAATTTGGGACAACGAAGGCCAGTGCGCGTGGTCCTCTGAAGAAAAAGGGAAGGTCGGATAAGGGAGAACAACTGCTAAGAACTACAACCCATGGTAAGGACAATAGAACGCCCTTCACGTCACGGCTAACTGAAGAGGCTCGAGGTGTTTAGTTACCTCCTCATCGTCATGATGCGGATCGCGCGCCGCTGTAACCTATCCAAAACATCGAGTTAGTACTCGGTTAAGCCATTCCAGATGTACGAGCGATAATCCACACAGGACCGTATTTGCGTCTTGTACAACAAGCACAGCTGATCTAGCGTGAAAAAACGACGCACCTGCTGTTTTGATCACGGTTTCGATGTAGTCCTTTGTATTCATGTCTGAGCGAACTTCCATACTGAGCATGTTAATGTTGTTCTGTAGCGCCAGTGCTGTGCGAGAGAGGGAAGAGGAAGGAATGGCGATGTATTTTTAGTATATGAATTATCTTATTCAGTACTTGACAAGACGATTCACACGGAACCCATATTCGATGATCACAGAGTATTACTTATAGCAACCTTCTAACTCTATCATCAGACCTTAAATAAAGGTGAAAGTTCTTACCATGATGAATATAAAGCGAGGCCGAAAATTGAATCGTTTTATTCATCATCATCATCATCAGCCTATTAATGTCCTCACTGCTGGGGCACAGGCCTTCCCTATGTATGGAATAGGGAGATTGTGCCATGACCTACCACGCGGGCCCAGTGCGGATTGGTGGGTGCTAACGACTGCAGATGCAGCCGGGACCAACGGCTTAACGTGCCTTCCGAAGCACGGAGGAGCTCGAGATAGTAATTTTTGGTCACCCATCCAATGACCGACCACTGCGAAAGTTGCTTAAGTTCAACGATCGCAGCCGAACGCGCTAACCACTTGCGCCATCGAGCTCCTCGTTTTATTATAGAGTTCAAATGGCCATCTACCGGTGTCACCATTCAAGAATATCAGAAAGTGGAAAACATGGACACATGGATATGTGACACAGAATTTAGATCATCATCATCAATCTATTAATGTCTCCACTGTTGCGGCACAGGCCTTCTATATTCTAAAAAATAACCTTATATCGCTTAGGCTTGTTGAAAATATATCGATGTATCGATATATCGATATTTTTTGTTCGATATATCGATATTTTTTGCCGATATATTTTGATTCGATATATCGATACAAAATAACCAATATCGAAATTCGTATCAAAAACGATATTTTTTTAATTATTAGCGGCATATCACGATCTAACTAAATTCGTATCTGGAAAAATCGTAACTAGATCTCAGATTAATGATATTCAACATATCTATGATCTGTGTTGTATTTAGTATTGTTTATTATTTGTAAATCTGTTTCGCTGGTGAATTGGTTGTGCTGATTTCCTTTCTTGTTTCCTGTCTTGTTTACGAAAGATGGCATCTGAGAGGCCCTGGCATTGGCATTTTCATCATTCAAAAATAGGGTCTATTTTTAGGGAGATAATTTTCGTTCCATTATTATTCCGCGTGTCATATTTCGTGAGATACTGTACTGTCATGTAGTGTAGCGGCAATTTGGTACTTTGATAATTCTTTCTTTAATTATAATTTGTATTGAACTATTATTACTATGCTAGGCTGACCTAAATATATTTTTGGAAAAATTGGCCCGATATATCGATATTTTTTTCAACTTTCGACATCCCTAATATCGCTTACGCTGCGGAAGTCATTGATAGAAGAGCAAAGTGATGTAGGTACTTAAGTTTTATAAAGGGCATCAATATCAAACAAAAAGCCCGCGATACCATTATGTTTAAATAAGTTGTCATAACTAAAGGTCGATTTCACACGAGTTAATTTGAGAAACAATGTTATAATACTGGGCCAAACTTAAAAGATGAATGAAGAACATTCAAAGAGGAACAATTCCGGTATACGTGATTTATGTGGAACTTTAATCATTTAAGCAGCGCACGCAACTGAAGCTCACAAATGGAATATTTTTACCCGTTTTTGCAACATTTTTACATCGATGATCCGTTCCTACTGCAGTGTTATTGCTTTGCTATCTATCTTTCTTTTAGCTGTCTTTAAAATTCTTTTTTTTACGTTGGGCTTAGGTTGGCTTTAAGGTTTATAATTCGCACCTTTAGAATTACAACGACGCAAGTGCAAAATAAAGTTAAAATGAGTCAATGTTCCTTACGATAGTTTGTCACTTTTAACAACGTTTTTTTATACTTAACTTATTTTAACGTTATTTTGCACTTGCGTTGTTGTAATTCTAAAGGTGCGAATTATATTCCGAGGATGCAGCCTGTAAAGGCTGCGAAACGTCAATAAATAAATAAAGTTTCGTGCATTAACCCGTGAAAAACTAGTTTTATTTAATGAGTGATGTGCGTGAAAACCTAAGAAACAAATAATTTTAACAATTAGAAAATAAAAGTTAATATTATATACGGAAATAATAATATGGAAATAAGTAAAAATGTATAAGAGATATAAAACATAAATATAGAAAAGGAAACGCCGTGAAGCGGCGAGTAATACCGAGAAAATACCATACACATAGAATTCGGAAAAGTTAAGAGTCAAAAATTGATTTTCAATAGAAAACTAGCCTATTACTTGCTTATAATTAAGATTAAAGCGATAGATAGATACGCCACAGGGCATGGACCAACGGTAAGAGAGACACACTTTTTTAAGAGCAGAGCAATGGTGCATTCTATACAGCGAGAAAATTTTCACAATCAGAAAAACATTTTTTCACAGAAGGTTTAAAATTATATGAAGAAAGTCATTGTGTATAATACAAGCCTGAGAACAAAAACTATACGCCTACTCGATTGTTATGGCTATAGCTATCGCTTACGATTTCATTTTGTATTTCAGACAAAGGTTTTCATATATACCTCACGCTTTTCTTTAATATTCCTATGACTCTTGCAAAAGAAAAAAAAGAGCGCGAGGAATTTGAAATTCTTCGGCGGTCAGAAATGAAAAAATTAAATCTTAAGAGAAAGCGATAGCCATAGCAATTCCGTTAGGCAATATAGCCCCCAACTCTACTGTGCCTTGGAGCTGTGAAAAAAATCGAACTTCTATGGCAACGCAATCAAAAGATACAGCTGTTTATGCCACAAATTTTCGAATCTCGCAAGGGAATTAAACCTACAGGGTACTTCCCGTGAACTCAGAATCTTGAAATTTGGTACGAAGCAACGTCTTATAGCACAAACAAAGGAAAATTTTCGAAAACCGTATTTTTTTGTTACATCACATATTTTACGGAACCCGCGTTGCGGGGTCCGACTCGAACTTGGCTGGTTTTTTACTACTGATTATAGTACACTTCCACGCCACATACAACAATTTCTCAACAAAATAAACCCCGCCCCCCCGATCCTGAGAGACCTTCAGTCGCTCAGTCCCAAACCGATACGGATGCACATCAGAGTGCATCCGTCCTCTAAGCGCACTATGCAGGCATATTATACTAAGGCAGCGCTGCATCATCCCCTTCTCAGGGGTTGATCGCATCAGATGAAGCCTGAAAGGCCCCTAAGGCCATAGGCATCCCCCACGGGTGTGTTTTAGTCAGAAAGAGTCTGACATAACCCTACAGCCGGCTGTAGGGTGTCCATGAGGATTTCACACCCGCTCCCCCGCCTGGGAGGAACCAAAAAAAAAACAAAATAAACTAACTGACGCCGCGTCTCGTCTCGCCGACGCGTGACGTGGCCCGATTCCAAAATAGCCCGCGGACACGGTAGGCGGCGGCGGCGGCACCGAGAGACAGTCGCACGCGACGACGGCGGCACGATGTCGCTGCGCCTGCGCCTGCTCGTACTGCTGCTGGTGCACGCGACGGCCGCGCAAGACCTGCGCATCGGTCAGTACCTACTGTTAACCACAATACTATCTTCCGCGAGTTGTGTTGTGTGTACTTAAACGAACAAATGCATCGATTAATTTACCTTCCACTGTGATAATACTCGTAATATCTGATTCTAAAACAACGACATTTGTATGAAACATCTGAAATATATGTTTACATCATATTAATATTCCGGTTTACGCATACAATACAAAAAGAACATGATTCAGGAAATTAATACATGTTCATTACGTGTTTCATGAAATATCTTTTCATTCTAAGTTTAGAAAAATATTAGTTTTTCGAAGAATGTTTGAAATGTGAAAAAGTTTTTTTCGGATTACCGCATTTGGGTCAATTGGGTCACGTATTTGAAGGATACTACTGTTCTTTCCTGGAAAAGTTTCAAATTTGAATACCTAGAGAACTTAAGTTTAATAACAAAAGGAAGAAAATGAACCGTAATTTCAGAAATACCTAGTGATTTATTTTTAGGCACATGCAGTTATAGTTTTACGGTAGCAGTATACAAGTTTTTAAGCATGTTTAATTACACTGGCAGTTTAAATATTCCTAGATACCTATTTTTCTGACTGCTGTACCCTTAGTACGAGTTCCAGCTCACCTAATTGTAAATTATGTTTCTATGTCCATTTTGATGAAAAGTAACCAAATATACTTAAAATTTAAGAAGACGTAAATGATTTATATAATGACAGAATTTAAGCACTGTTTTTGTATTGAAACGAAAACAATAAAATTAGTACCTTTCATAGTTTTTTTTCATTAGTTTTTAAAACTATCATATTTTTCGTAATTGTAAAACTCGTACTAAGGGTACAGATTTTGTTTCTTGTCACACTTGCGTAAACACTAACATATTTAATAGAAAATTCACCAGGATTGCAATTGGTCACCACTTACAACCTAAGGAAACTTACTACTATTTAGGATTGAAAAGGTGGGTTTAACATCGCCCATTCTAGCTTGTTCTGTCTCCATAGAACATAATTATTAGTGTCTGTAAACTAATACTATGTTCGAGAGAGGTTCCGCTCGGATCGGAGAGCGCTTCCGGGGAGTGGGGTTGCCAGATATACTATAATATATAGTATTCTACTATATTTCTTCCTCTGTATACTTTATTATATATGAAACGCATAAAGTATACTAAAAAAAAATTGTGTGTGTCAGCTCCGACGCACGACCGGAGTTTACACTCTAAAAACGATTGTCTTTGAACAGACACAACACAAAATCAAGTCCGAAGAAGTCGGTTACAAGCAGAGATACCTCAGGAATCGTCCCATGGTTTCAACTATCATAAGTTCCATGTCACACATTTTATCATGTAACATCAGCGATATTCATCATATTATATTTTATTATGTATTTCTGGAAACACACAATTTTAAAAATATCACACACTAGTCATCATTTTGTAAATATGTATTATAATTCCATCTGTACTGAAAATCACTATTCCAGAGTGCTGGACACTTACCGGCATTTCTCTATATTCTGTTATTTATTTGTTTTCATTAATTTTGCTCCGATTTTATCTATTTTTAGTTTATTTATTTTATTGACATTTGTGACAACTTAAAGTTTTTTATCCGTTGCCATGGCTAAAAGTGAAAAGTGCGCAGATGAGGTTGCGCACAAAAACGTAACGAGGTCATTAATGTCATTCATCGATAGATTTTACTCCTCATATTTTCCTCATACCGGGTCCCTTATATATGCAAATCGATTCTTAAGGAGTAAATTCCAATACTATATTTTAAACTTTTATTCAAAGATCACAAGTTGACGTTAAGTTTCCGAACGCACTCATAAAAAAAAGTGACACGAACATAGAATATACAGGGTGAAATTGAATGTTTCTATGAAACTTCGTGAGATTGATGGGTTACATGTATAGAGTATGCCTGATTTTTTTCGGATTTTTTAAAATAATTTTTTTCGTTTTTTAATTTTTTATTTGGTTATTTTTTTGTCATTTCTTCCTTATGAGTAATTATTCATTTTAAACACGTCTACATAGAAGTTATAAAGCAACTTAAAATAAACACTACTAAAAAAACGGAAATTTAATGAATGCCTCCAGTCGAGATCAGCGCCGGTCGGGGCGACGACCGGCGGCCGCCTGTAGGTACCTAACTACACGCACAGATGACTCGGCGCTTACCTACTCGCTTTGATCCACACTATTTAAAAACAATACAATAAAATAGTCTTAGATGCTATATTATAATTATTTATTCACTGATACACAATACCTTTGAATATTATTTCATAAAGCACAGGTAATTAATCAATAAAATAAATCTTCTTAAAATTAAGAGCAAATCGGTATAACTTACGAGCTTAGTGAAGGAAGGAACTCTTCGTGTCTGATTTGCCCACGTCATGAAATTCCGAACACATTTAATCACAGCCACAGTCACACATACACACACACACACACATAATAATATGTTGTTTTGCGGCAAGCACGGGCGGGCGGCGCGCCGCACGCTGGCAACTAGCGCCGGTTGCGGCGTCTTTGATGATGTGAATTCCGCCCACCTCCCCTCTTCCCCGCACGCGGACGTTTGCTTTGATTGCATGCAAAACGCAGTCGCAAGTATATCAATCGCGCGTGAGCGTGCGCATCTTTTGACTTGGTGACTGTGATAATTTCATTATGCCTCGGTATACAAACCAAGAATATTTAGAGATGGTGTACTGCTATCGCGAGTGTGACGAAGTAGGTTTGGTTTACGAATGAGTCCCTAAACCATAGAAGTTGCATTTTGTGCAGTGAGTAGTTATAGGGACACTTTAAAAAAGGTGAAAAGACACGTCCGCAAACAGGCAACCTTTGTTTGCAGCAAAATGGTGGTTTAGAGCAACAATTTTGCAGATAATAATTTAAGTCTCTTTTTATTGCTAGTGTAAATACTTTTTGATTAGAAACAACTAATTGTGTACTACCAGTGTGATTGATTTGATAAAAAGTTCTAGTTAAAAAAATGAATATGTTCCTCGTTCCTCGTTGTACCTACCTAAATCGCCGGTCTCGTAAGTACTTTTGTATACCTGGTTATAAATTTCATTCTTGGGGTATTAAGCAATAAGTATTTCTTTTTGTTTAACATTTGCCTATTTCCAATCGTGACAAAATTATTATTAACTTTTAAAGGTTTTCTCTGCTTAAGAAAAGATGACATTTGTGCTTATTATTTCAATTTCAATAAAGGCATCTAAGACGATTTTATTGTACCTATTGTGTGGAATCAAACGAGTCAGTTGAGCTCTGTGTAGAGTTAGGTAGCTACTTACTCAACGGCTGGCGGGCGCGGTCGGTCGTTGACCCGCGGTGGAATTTCAATGTTTTTCCGTTTTTTAGAAGTGCTTATTTATTAGTTGTTTTTCACTGGATATGTAAGTTTGTTTGTTTAAAATGAATTAACTACTCAAAACGAGGAAAGGACATAAAAATACACAAATTATAAATAAATACATGAAAAAAATATACTTCAAAAAAATCCGAAAAAAGACAGGCATACTCTATACACATAACCCAACAATCTCACGAAGTTTCATAGAAACATTCAATTTCACCCTATATTTATGCATGTAAAAAGTGTAATAATAAAAATGCTTTATTTTTTCTGTGTGTACTTTATTTTTCGATCCTTCAAACCGTCAAACACTATATATCTCAGAAAAAATTCTGGCAATCCTACCGGGGAGCAACCTCCAGCTTACAGAACACCGCAGTAAAGTAGCACTACTTATTGTTGTGTTCCTGTCGGTGAGTAAGGTTCCTGGGTCCCACGGGGTAGGGGAATGGGTCAGGGTAGGCAACGGCGCGAGTGAAATTTTTGGTATCGTAAACGTCTATAGGTGGCCGCTTACCATCAGGCGGGCGATACGCTTGTTCGCCACCCATTTAACATTAAAAAACTGTACAGGTGTGGTGGAGTCGGCGCCGGGGCGCGCGCTACAGCTGGCGGCGGCGCTGGAGGCGGCGCTGGGCGAGGGCGCCGCGCTGGTGGCGCCCGTGGAGCCCGACGAGCCGCTCGCCGCGCAGGCGCACGTGTGCGCGCAGGCCGCTGAGGTGAGTAGGGGAACGAGCAGTGAGTAACGGATAGAACAGTGAGTAGGGGTATGAGCAGTAAGTAGGGGAACGAACAGTGAGTAGGAGTATGAGCAGTGAGTAAGGGATAGAACAGTGAGTAGGGGAACGAACAGTGAGTAGGGGAACGAACAGTGAGTAGGGGAACGAACAGTGAGTAGGGGTATGAGCAGTGAGTAAGGGAACGAGCAGTAAGGGATAGAACAGTGAGTAGGGGAACGAACAGTGAGTAGGGGTATGAGCAGTGAGTAAGGGAACGAGCAGTAAGGGATAGAACAGTGAGTAGGGTAACGAACAGTGAGTAGGGGTATGAGCAGTGAGTAAGGGAACGAGCAGTAAGGGATAGAACAGTGAGTAGGGTAACGAACAGTGAGTAGGGGAACGAGCAGTTAGTAAGGGATAGAACAGTGAGTAAGGGTATGAGCAGTGAGTAGGGGATGAGCTGTGAGTAGGGGAATGAACAGGGAGTAGGGGAACGAGCATTGAGTAGGGGAATGAATAGGGAGTAGGGGAACGAGCATTGAGCAGGGGAATGAACAGGGAGTAGGGGAACGAGCATTGAGCAGGGGAACGAGCAGTGAGTAGCGGAAGGAGCAGTGAGTCGAGGAACAAACGAGTTTTATGGGACCCTGTGCATACCCATACTGTACTATGAAACCTCGTAGGAAAGTTTGTGTATAATCAGTAGCGACTGGCACTGGTCTGTGAACGGTCGTGTGAACCGGTTACTCCACGTACACTTATCTAAAAAATCCATAAATTCGCAAACTTTCGCAATGTCCTTTTGGGGTCAGTGTGACGAAGCTGTTGTAGGAGTGCACTGCTCATCATGTGAACAGAATATGCATTTCCAATGTGCGGGCATAACTGAAATAGGCTACAGAAAGCTGGGTGTTGAAAGGAAGCAGGCTTGGAAATGCCATAAATGTAAGCTCAAGATTACCACAGCCGACAAGTGATTCATCCATTATGGCGGAACTTTAAGCCTTAGCCTTTTTGTTGGCTCCGTTGGACTCCTTTCAGTTCAGGTCGGGGCATTGCGTGCAGAAATTTCGGAACTGAAATCGTAAGTTAGTCTGACAAATTCCTGCTTAAAAGAACATAATGAAAATTTTGAGAAGTTTGAAGAACGTATTTCACGTGTAAAAGGAATGGAAGATCGAGTGACAATGATTGAAGCGGACTTGAATAGACTAAAACAGGAGGTTAATAAGAAAGATTAATGGTTACGTTTGAACAACGCTGAGATAAATGGTATTCCTCAATCTCTAAAAGAAAATTAGCTGGTTGTCGTTAGCTTGATTGGGTCTAGGATTAACTATCCTATATAATAAAGCTCAAATAAATTGTGTAGCCAGAGTTCCAAGCAAAGATACTACCCAACCAATACCAATTAATATTATAATTGTGGCGTTTATAAATCGATACGTAAAAGAAGACTTTGTTGCGGCAGTGAGAGCCAAGATAAGATTTGGATTTTTTCTAGTAATATTTTCTTTAGATTAAGTAGAAAACAAATGGCCAATTTACACATTTAATCTACCAAAAACAAATGTGCAAAATAAGTAACAATGACATCATGCTTATACATGAGTGTTAATATCGTCAAATTGTGATTAGTTTAATATCTAAACTTTAATTTACCACTCATAAATACATAAATTGAATATATGCGTCATGGTTTTGGTTTGTTTTGCAGGAAGCGGCGGCAGCTGTGAGCAATGGCGGGGAGCGCGCGGCGGCCCTGGGAGCGGACGCGGCCGCGCGCGCCGGCCTACCGCTGTTGCTGCTGGGGCCCGTCGCCGCCGCCGACGCCGCCTGGGAGGCACTGGCGCTCTACCCGCCCGATGACATCATTGCGCAGGTCTAGCATTAAAGCCAGATTTACATTGATACAGTAGCTGGCGCCAGTCCCACTGGCATGCCAGCACTGGATCCATGTAAACATTTTTTGACGCCAGTCCCGCGCTGGTGCCAGCGCTGGCATGGATTAGAACGAAGGCCTACTTTTCATGTGAGCGTCAGAATGGCCGGTCACTACCCATATTTTACATCGAAATAATTATAGAAAGTTGCTACCTAGTTGCTTCTAGTTGCTACTAATCGTTAAATAGTTGCTACCCCCGATTAAAACAAAATAAACTACTTTTTAGGGTGACCAGCCATTCTGACGTCAGAACATACAGAATAAAACAATACAAACATTATAATTTTTATTATTTTTAAAGCATGTAACTGCTTGATGTTTAAATCTAAAGAAAATATAACTAGAAAAAATTCCACGCGGACCAGGCAGCAGACGGGACTCGAACCCGCACCCTTCGCAATCCGGGCGAATGCACTGACCAATTATGCTACCGCGGCCCTCACGGACCGCGTCGAAATTCTTTCTAGCTATTCTTAAGCTGCAAGGCAGCACCATCTCTTCGCATTATAGGTAAACCCACAATGTCAAATGAATACTTTTTACAAGTATTAAACATTTGAAAGAAGAAATAGCAATTATAGTTATAATTTTTATTATTTTTAAAGCATGTAACTGCTTGATGTTTAAATCTAAAGAAAATATAACTAGAAAAAATTCCACGCGGACCAGGCAGCAGACGGGACTCGAACCCGCACCCTTCGCAATCCGGGCGAATGCACTGACCAATTATGCTACCGCGGCCCTCACGGACCGCGTCGAAATTCTTTCTAGCTATTCTTAAGCTGCAAGGCAGCACCATCTCTTCGCATTATAGGTAAACCCACAATGTCAAATTAATACTTTTTACAAGTATTAAACATTTGTCCCGTCTGCTGCCTGGTCCGCGTGGAATTTTTTCTAGTTATATTTTCTTTAGATTTAAACATCAAGCAGTTACATGCTTTAAAAATAATAAAAATTATAACTATAATTGCTATTTCTTCTTTCAAATGTTTAATACTTGTAAAAAGTATTCATTTGACATTGTGGGTTTACCTATAATGCGAAGAGATGGTGCTGCCTTGCAGCTTAAGAATAGCTAGAAAGAATTTCGACGCGGTCCGTGAGGGCCGCGGTAGCATAATTGGTCAGTGCATTCGCCCGGATTGCGAAGGGTGCGGGTTCGAGTCCCGTCTGCTGCCTGGTCCGCGTGGAATTTTTTCTAGTTATATTTTCTTTAGATTTAATACAAACATTGAATGCGATAATTGTACCAGAAATAACAGTAGACTGTTCTGCATAATAAAGTAAAAATTTACCTACCTTCATCAGAAATATTTTTTACAAACAAACAAAAATAACTCAATACAGAAATTAACATTATTTTGTCTTGTTTCGCACGGTATAATAATATTATTCATTATATTATTACAACTAAAAACATACATTACATAATGTATAGTAGACAACTTTTACAATAAATTATATTACGCAGCGCCTGCTTATGCAATACCCATTATGCACTTGATTTCGAATTTGCTCGTATAATTCTACAGGCGTACAGTTTCAATAATGTCTGAACGCTCAATTGATAATATCTCTTTATCCTTAAAAGCTAGGAGGTCCTAAACGATAATATCGTTTAGGACCTCCTAGCTATATATATTATATATTAAGGTTGCAACCTAGTAGCAACTATTGCTTTAAAAAAATCTCTATTTAGTTACGCAGTTTGTTCTCACTGGATAGGTGACCAGCCATTCTGACGTCAGAATGGCTGGTCACCCTAAAAAGTAGTTTATTTTGTTTTAATCGGGGGTAGCAACTATTTAACGATTAGTAGCAACTAGAAGCAACTAGGTAGCAACTTTCTATAATTATTTCGATGTAAAATATGGGTAGTGACCGGCCATTCTGACGCTCACCTTTTCATGCCAGTGCCCACACCCCGCATCCCCCGCGCCCCTTGCCAGCGTCACTGGATCTTTTTACCCGGCTGCGCAATGCAAGAGCGCGAAGCGCGACGCGCAGACAGGGTTATGTGTTTAACAGTCTATATATGTATGTTTGTTCCTTTGTGACACACTAGAGACCAAACGCCTGGACCGATTTTGATGATTCATACATCAATCGATTCGTCTCAATCATGGGAGTGCTACTAAAGATATGATAGTAATCAAAATTCAATATGGGCAAAATTAGGCGCCATATCGTGACGAAGTAAAAAAAAAAAGTTGACTAAATATGTCGAATGGGGTATCACTGTCTAGATAATCAAAAATCATATTTAGGTTCCTAACGCCATTTTTCATTTTATATGATTGTTTAGGATCTACAACGCTTTAAAGTTGTATATTAACCACTTACGCTTTTAATTTCAATCTTACGATCTTTGTTACTCTTTCACCTCAAAAATACAGAATGGATTTTAATGAAACTTAACAGTAATATAGCTCATATATGATAATTATATATATATAATAATTTATGTAGTTCTTGAGTGAATTGGCCAATATATAGCAATAAGTGTCACATAAGACGGAAAAAAATGTCCTATCTGCGAGCCATTTTGGCCTGCACTGCAAAAACAATAAAAGTTACATGAATGTAATGTAGCGTGAAAATGTATCTCTTAAATAGTTCTAAAAAAAAGTCCGTGACACCATATATCTATTTTTAATGTGTAAGTCATTACCGCTAAAATGGTGAATCAAAACTAAAATATTATTTGATATCTATTTCCAAAATGCACATTTTGTATTAACAAATCGTTTTTTATCAAAACAAATACTTTAATCGCTTTTGATACTTAAAGACGATAAACTTTGCTTTTTACACTATGTCATTTCGACAAATATTTAAAAAGTTACAACGATGACAAAGTGATAGCGCGGTGTACTATGTAAAAGAAAAAAAAATGGGGTTTTCGCAGTATCTGATCCTATACGAAGTACTAATATTAAAACTGTGATACAGTTCCTTCTTATTAAATGATGAAAAATATATTATCATAATAGGTATTTATGATCATTGAATTTTAATGAAAAACTCAGAATTTTACTGTTTTTCATTTATTTTAACGATATTACTGAAGGTTACAAAAAAGGTTTACTTAATATAATGACAAATAACCCATTTTCGCTAGTAAGTACATACTTATTGGAATCCCTGTATTTATTAATCAGCTCGCGATAATATTGGTTTTGTAATAATTCTGCAAAATTCAAAGTAAATAATGTAGAAAAATTTGGAAAATAATTGCCATGATTGCACTACTGGGAGTACTCTTCATTCGAGCTTAGACTACCAATAAAAAAGGGTCGAACACAAAGTCTTTGACCTGTTAAATGTGAACGCTTTAAAAGAAAACTACAAAGAGAACTATAAATTGATAATAAATGAGATTGCTATGGTACTCTACCTAACGATAGGAAAATTTTAATATGCGCCTTTAGTTTAATCAAATATTATAAACTTTGCTTTGGTGATTGCATAATTATTTAATTTAGTGATCTAAGGCAGTTGCCACCATTGTCCAAAACAACAGACGGGAATTACTTCTTTCTTCAAGCTGCGACATAAACGTCATTGATTGGTATTGTATATAGGGTGATTAAAAACATTTGAAGTTAACTTCTGGCATCTACATATTGGGTTTCTGTGAATTATGTAGGTATATCAAATTATGAGACTAGGGACTGACACTAAATTTGTGTATATCACAATCTTAGACGTCCGGCATTGACATGACAATGCAGGCACTGCCAATTTTAAATAGTCGACGAATAAAAGTAATGAATTTTATATTTACTGCTAAACTATTAAAAAAAACATAAAGTCATCTTTTGACTTTTTGAGTAAGTGCTAGTTTACTATAAAATTTACATACATTAGAGATATTTATGTAACGACTTGATTTAACTTCACACATTTTTGCGAAAATTGAGGCCCATCTGTAGCCTTGACCCCGCTGGTAAAGTCTTTATATGTCTCAATAAATCAATCTTTTAGACCGACACAAGGTACTTAATAATTCCCGCGATATTAATTCCCTTACTGAAGTAAAGGACTACGGTATATACCGTCTTAAAATACTAACTAAAAAGTGTGAAATAAAAAAGGTAAATTTAAAAAATCAAAAAACCCGACTGCTTAATTATTCTTCAAATAAAAACTGAAAAGAAAAAAACAAGTCCAGTAGTCTATAATTCTGTTAATAAGGAACAAAGCTACTTTAACAGTCGGGACCCACTGTTGAAAAATATTATGTATTCTTGAATATCTAATGGGTCCCGACTGTTAAAGTAGCTTTGTTCCTTATTAACAGAATTATAGACTACTGGACTTGTTTTTTTCTTTTCAGTTTTTATTTGAAGAATAATTAAGCAGTCGGGTTTTTTGATTTTTTAAATTTACCTTTTTTTAAACACGTTCACGCCAGTCGCTGGCGCCACCGCTTAATGTCACCACGTGTTATTGATTTGCTGAAACTTTCGACAAGAAAATGTCTCGAAAGTGGTGGTGGTGGACAATTTATACATTTATATAGAAATGAGGAGTGTTTATGGGACATTCGTTCACAAAATTATAGAAATAAATAGATGCGAATAACCGCCCTACAAAATATTTGCTCTTCAATGAACATGGAAAAGTTAACTATTGAAGAAATGAAAGCGAAAATAAAATCAGTGTTCATTTTTTCCCAAACGTGTAGTCACCACTAAACCTCAAATGCAACTGCTGGCAAAAATGTAAACGATACAATCCAGTTCAGTTATTGGCACCGTTTTTAGGCGCCTAAAACTGGCGCCAGCTACTGTATCAATGTAAATCTGGCTTAAGGATTACGGCCTCAAGCCGTGCGGAATACGCTATACCGAGCTTTAACCGAGTGAGAGTGCGACGGCCTTCGCCACGGCCCATAAGAACTTTAGCACCTGACACCAAACTCTGATGCTGGAGTTGCTTTATTTATTATTGAGTACTCATAGTCACCGTCCGTCTCCATCATCAGAATATTTCATTGGTGTCTCCGGACAACCATTAGTAGGTATGTCAAATTTAAGCTCAATCCGACGGCAAACAGAGCTTCTCAAATATATAATTATTTGCTAAAAAAGCAGTAAATATAAACTGAACTTGCTAATCAAAATCATTGATATAAAGAAGTAATACGTTGCGACAGGCGGTTGTGGATCTGTGCGAGGCCAAGGGATGGCGCAGCGCCGCGCTGCTGCATGAGGGCAGCGCCCGCGGCATCGCGCTACTGGCGCCCGACGTGGAGTCACTGAAGCTGCTGCCGCGCCGTCTGCCGCCACCTGACGACGAGTCGCTGCTCAGGTACCGTATTCTACGCCCTCTAGACTGCTACTGCCGCGCCGCCTGATGCTGCGTAACGATATCGAATTCAACATTTGCATTCTGATTCGATAATGGTTCGTGCTAACGGCACTGTTTATTCGTACGTAGCATCTTAGATTGGCATTAGAGATTAGGCGGCTGTTGGCTGATGAATATTTGGCACTAGTCGAATATCATTTGTATTTTCTAATATTTTAATATTTCTTAACTTTGGAAAATGTATCTTCATATTTTTAAGTGAAGTCTTGTTAATGTTTTATTATTGTTGAAATAATTTACTAAAGGACATTGGGCAAAAATGTATGGACGCTGCACCCGCATCCGCCACGGCTTAAACTACATTTGTTTCAAAGGTATTATAGTCATAATCATCTCTGCCAAGGCGCATCAAATTCCATCCCGGGGGTCTTTAGTTATTTTAAGTTAGAAACGTACAAGTACTGTAACGAATGAACATTAATGAAACAAAGGAATTAATTTAGTTAGTTAGTTCGACTGTACATAGACGGCCCATGTATTATGGGAGTACTTCACAAGGTGCAAGTGTGCCCCCTTATGTTATTCTTCCGCGCTAAAGTAAATCAAAAACTCCCCTCCTGGGTTGGGGGGTTTTTTCAAACAGTCTGTTCGTTATAGTAAATTGTCTTCTATGTAAAATGGAGCGATCACAAATCACACAAACTTGTCTACGCTTCAGAGAAAACACGATTCCAGTTCATCCATACTAATCAACAAAATCAATAATCGTGTTCCAATGTCCAAAGCGTGTTAGATAAAAATCAATCAAGTGACAGCAACTGCAAGTCCTTCAACCCCCGTAAACCGTTTTGTGGTGGCTCAGTAAGTGCAAGTGCGCTATATCTGGTTGTACAGTACGATATGGCATATTATTATGGTTACTAATAATAAAAAATGAAGGTATTATAAAATTAATTTAATTAATAAAACTAGTTTTAACGGGTTAATGCACGAAACTTTATTTATTTACTGACGCTTCGCAGCCTTTTCAGGCTTTTTCGTCAGAATTATTTTTTATTTGGTTACTTAAATATGCCCATGTGTGATATCTTTTGACTACCAGGATATTTTTATACAGTGTCATATCTTTTGACTACCAGGATATTTTTATACGGTGTCATATCTTTTGACTACCAGGATATTTTTATACAGTGTCATATCTTTTGACTACCGGGATATTTTTTTACGGTGTCATAATAAAATAGGTTAGTTTTTCAAAGATCTAATACAATTTCAATTCATACTAATGACATTGTTGGCGGAGCTGGGTGTGTTTGCCCATTGTCCTTTGTATAAATATAAGTATAAGTCGATTCTTGATCTGCGTGTTAGTTGCTGAAGCGGCTCATATATCTGCAGAAACCTGCTGCTCCTGCTAAAGAAGTCTGGCGTGACGGAGTTTATCGTTTGGTGCGGTGCGGCGTGCGGCGCGCGCGTGCTGGACGCCGCGCAGCGCGTGGGGCTGCTCTCCGCGCGCCACTCCTACGTGCTGGCCACGCTGGACCTGCACACCATGCCACTCGCACACTTCAGGTCTGTCACCTCCACTATTACTGCTCTCCGCGCGCCACTCCTACGTGCTGGCCACGCTGGACCTGCACACCATGCCACTCGCACACTTCAGGTCTGTCACCTCCACTATTACTGCTCTCCGCGCGCCACTCCTACGTGCTGGCCACGCTGGACCTGCACACCATGCACCTTGATGGTACAGCAAGGTGTAGTCTGCAAATTGTTTCTCTACGTCTTCACTTATACTCATTGTGGAGGATAAGGACTGTATTTTTATTTATTATTAAAGAGAAAAGAAAATAGTGGTGGCAGTGACAAGGTAAAATAATGTTTTTTAACGTCTAAGAGCAAAACAATCTAAATAAAAATTAAAGTATCAAAAACTCATACACAAAAAATATAAAGGAATGATATAAAAGGTGAACCATCCGGCACACTCATAACAGAACGAAATAAATTTAAGAAAAGCTTGCTTTGCATTTGCATAACCTTTTTTTTATTGACGTGACAACGTCTTAAATTAGGTTGCGGCTGGGAGTCACTTATGAAAAAGTGTAACGCTCGGTAACGTTACGATGAGTCTCTCGTGTTAAGTTTAAGTTTACATGTACAATGTTTTAGTAAACAAAATATATTTCTATAGTTAAAATTTGTGCAATTCTTATTTTCATTCAATTCCTTGTTCCTATTGTGCAATTTAATTATATTCATATCAATAAATATTCTACCGAGAAAAAGACGTTGTCACGTAAAATCTTCGCCCGTAAAACCGACTTTACAGGCAACCATTTTTTATTGCTCATCTTAGAACCATGTAACGTTACTTCAGACAGCATAACTCACAACAGAAAAACAAAATAACAATTTTTTGACTGCAGTTTCATTTAAATTAAAGCTGGGTACTTTTCCTAAAAGCTTTTTAAATTCAAAGTAATAAATGTTCTATTTAAATCGGAAGCATAATACAACTCTTTTGAATCGTCCATAGCTTATCTGTCGAGAAAAACCGTCGAAAAAACTTCGCAGCGTGAAATAACTATGTGTCAATATTCACAAAATATTATATTGTTACGATGTTAATATAAAATCTTATCAAAGTAATTATAAGATTTGACGATTCAAAAGAAAAAGTTCGCTGTGCCTTCTGTTAAGTGAGTTCTTGACTTTATATTCTGTTTCATGGTCGACTCGGGAGTATGTTCGATAGGAATGAAAGTCTCAACAAAGATGGCTCGAGCGGTAGAACCAAGAAATGTATTGCATATTTAAATAATGCACGTTGATTTCGCAGCCACGGCGGTGCCAACATCACAACTCTGCAGTTGTACTCGCTCGACAATAACGAAACAATGCAGGTAAAAAAAAAATCTCACATTCAAAAAATCAGATAGTAATAATATTTAATTTAAAACCAATTTAATGGAAGTATATATTTCGACCGATCCATAGGATAAACCTACTTCTGCATAATCCCTACTTTACAGTAGAGCGATTTGAAGTTTGGGAAATTAACTTCTATTGATATATTTTTTTTATTTTTTTTTTCTAAGATATTATTTTTTTTACCAATCATATAAAGCATTGAGAAACAAATTATGACGCATTTATTGTTTTAAAAAAAAATGTGTGCGTGTACTAGTGTACACACGTAAGAAGTGAAACTTCTTTATGGCCTTATTTTTCGAAAAATGATCTACATGCAACTTTCCAGAAATTGGTTAAATAAAGTTAAATTAGATAAAGTTTAAACAAAAGGATTTTATTATCATAGACATGAATACAAATTACTGCCTATGAAACTGTTATGATTACACGGCTCAGTAATCTAAGGCACATGTTCCACCTCCGACGATGAACGATAAGCGAGTAGAAACTAGAAACGAATTGGCAGTCCTGAGTTAAAATGCACGCGCACGGCTTTTGACAGCCAAGCCAGCTTAACCGAGCGAGTATAGCTGAGCGAGTATCGCTGAGCGAGTATCGCTGAGCGAGTATCGCTGAGCGAGTACCGCTGAGCGAGTACCGCTGAGCGAGTATCGCTGAGCGAGTATCGCTGAGCGAGTATCGCTGAGCGAGTATCGCTATGCGAGTTTGGCTGAGCGAGTCTTATCTTTAATAACTATTGTCACTCAGCTACAAACGAGTAGAGAGAGTTCTCGCCGGCGACAGTGTGATCATTCAGCTATCAACTATTAATATAAAAAAGATGGCGCGTAACGGAAAAATGTGACGGTAAATTTTTTTCCAACGCCGATAAAGGAGTTTCACTTCAAAAAACTACATTTACGGCTCATATTTTGTTATTTAAGAGTATCTTATGTGATCGTTTGACAATTTACTACGGACATCTTTATGTTACATATGCTTATCAGACCTTATGCTTGGTTAACGTGTCAATATTATGTGAAGTATTAACTTTGTTTTAAAAAAATTGTATGTCCTGTCGCGTCACATTATGATAATATGGTAAATAAGAAAAATAGAATCAGAAATTTAGTAAAAAGTCTCAGTTTGTAACAAAATTGAAGCCGTGCTGGCTGCTTTCTTGCCTATCCAAAAGGTAGTGCTCTTGACTCTATTTTCTTCGGAAACCAAAATCACATGTCCCTTTATTCAATTGCTATCTTCGAAGTTATATAAGTTTAAGAATAAATGTTTTTACCAGTAAAATATATGCGTGCGTCCCTTCGGCTAAAAGTATAATAAAAGTACGTACGTACATAACTTTTTTCATATGTAACTTTATTTTATGCATAGGTCGATTTATTCATACCCGAATAAGTACTTTCAAAGAGCATAATGTGGTATTTTGCTTGTATATTGCATCGTTTCTTGTAGACTGTCGAAGCATGGCGCGAAGCGTACGAGCGTCGACTGGGCAGCGCTTCGGAAGCGAGGCGGATCGCCGCAGCACCGCCCGTCGCGCTGCTTCTGGCATACGATGCCGCAAGGTAAACTGGCCACGAAATTTAACGAAAACATCTTTATCAAATTTATATGACTGGAACAACTATAAAATTTTGCAAATTTTTGTTTATCGCAATTAAGAAAAAGTGATACATTCGCCCGGATTGCGAAGGGTGCGGTGTGGGATCTGTAGAGGCACACGTAGACTCTGGCCAAAGGACCAGAGTCTACATGTACCGCCAACATAGAAAAGGAGGGGTCTTCCAGGCAGCTCAAACGGCTACAACAAACATCCGGCCGAACATACAGGCATACGTTGGCTTTTGCTTTGAAGGATTTAAGGTAGCCTGTGTGAGCGGGCGGAAGTATTTGTGTCTCCGTGAGAAAGACTATATAAGCATATTTATATAGAAATGCATATTAAACATCCATGGCTGGAGTACAAATTCATCACACAAGCATCTGCCCCCACCGGGATTCGAACCCGCGACCTCTCGAGTCGGCGACACCATGAAACCCGGCGTATAAACCACTTGGCCACGAGGTCGTCAATTCTCGCTTGGCAGTTCTTTATTGACGATACAGTACACACAGTTCTATCTTAAACTCACGATCATTCACGTCGCGACACGCGTCGTTCTGGTAAATCTGTTTCCAGTATATTCGTGGTTTTGGTTCGAGAGTGTTTGTGACAATGCTATAGTTTGTTCCTGCCATTAGACTGGTATCGGAGGCGGCGCTGCGGCTGAGCCTGCCGGCGATGGCGGGCGCGGATTGCGCGCGCGGCGCCGGCGCCTTCCACGCGGACACGCTGCTCAACTACCTGCGCTCCGAGGACTGGGGCCACATCTCCTGGGAGGCCGACGGCGCCCGCCGAGAGGTCCGAGACACCTTATTTGTCATCACTTCCACTGAGCTCCTACATATAGATAATAAGTCTGATGTTTCTCCCACATCTGCGAAACGAAGCTTCGGGTTTGGTACTAATTGTGCTAAATTTAGTGTTCAAAATTTGAATTGATTCTGTCGTCATGAATTTGTGGACGTTAAACGATAGCTTAACTAGCGTTAGTTTGACACGCTACAAGAAGTTGTGATAACATTTTTTTATGTACTGCTACAGGAGCGTAGTTAATTCAAAGTTTGAACGCTATTTTTTAACTCATTTTAGTACCAATGCCACTCGAAGCTTCGTAGCGCAGGTGTCAAATAAGCATTAGAGGTATTCCCATGATATAGACAACGATAGTTGATCTAGATATAGAAAGAGCCAAAAAATAACGCATACAACATAACCTGCGTAGTCACAATTTTATATACAAAAAGTCTATTTACTACGCAAGGTGATTTGATTTGTCTGTAGTTTAGCTCAAGAAGTCTCTCGCTATCTCTTCCACGAGCTTTAAACATAGTCCACCCATTTGCTTCGCCTCTTTGAGACTTACTTGTCCAGTTGTTCGCAGGTGCAACTAGTGATATCGGAGCTGGCGCGCGGCGGAGCGCTGCAGGCGGCGGGCGACTGGGCGGCGCGCGGGGGCCTGCGCTGGACGCGCCGCCCGCACCCCGCGCCGCCGCCCCCGCGACACTCCATGACCAACCGCACCTTCAACGTGCTCATCGCCATAGTGCGTACCTCACCTCACTCCCTAACAGGCGGCGCGGGGGCCTGCGCTGGACGCGCCGCCCGCACCCCGCGCCGCCGCCCCCGCGACACTCCATGACCAACCGCACCTTCAACGTGCTCATCGCCATAGTGCGTACCTCACCCCACTCCCTAACAGGCGGCGCGGGGGCCTGCGCTGGACGCGCCGCCCGCACCCCGCGCCGCCGCCCCCGCGACACTCCATGACCAACCGCACCTTCAACGTGCTCATCGCCATAGTGCGTACCTCACCCCACTCCCTAACAGGCGGCGCGGGGGCCTGCGCTGGACGCGCCGCCCGCACCCCGCGCCGCCGCCCCCGCGACACTCCATGACCAACCGCACCTTCAACGTGCTCATCGCCATAGTGCGTACCTCACCCCACTCCCTAACAGGCGGCGCGGGGGCCTGCGCTGGACGCGCCGCCCGCACCCCGCGCCGCCGCCCCCGCGACACTCCATGACCAACCGCACCTTCAACGTGCTCATCGCCATAGTGCGTACCTCACCCCACTCCCTAACAGGCGGCGCGGGGGCCTGCGCTGGACGCGCCGCCCGCACCCCGCGCCGCCGCCCCCGCGACACTCCATGACCAACCGCACCTTCAACGTGCTCATCGCCATAGTGCGTACCTCACCTCACTACCTAACAGGCGGCGCCGTATAATTTTAAAATCCAAAGACATCCTTGAATGGAATAGCTACATTGAAACTAGAATGAAATAAGCTTTTCCATGTAAGTTCGGACTCCCAGCTTACATGCATAGAGAATTAGTTTAACTTCTGTATAATGCTATGTGGTTGTAGACATTCATGAATGTTCACATTTGATGTAGTAGCTGAAACCTAATTGGTGTAAAAAAAATCAGTTCACCTTCATGTTCGGTTTTTCGGATTCGGACGGATTCAGTGACCCGAAAAACATATGTGTACATGACCAAAACCATTCTGAATTCACGTTCAACAGAAACGTTATACAGCCGTATATTTTAGACTTTGACACGCTGTAGCTCCTCATCTATGAACTTTTGGGCATTGGGCCCATGTGGTCTTTTATTCCACGTGTCATGAGCTATCATCTCCCAAAGTTACAGAAAAATTGGCCGAGAGCCAGATTCCATAAGGATTCTGCGGGGTCCTTTAACCATCGATGAAACAGCGGGGCCTCATTAAGAAAGAATATCGCCCGAAGACGCTATATTAAAATAAAGAATGACTTCTAACACGCTTACATCACTATTTTTTGTTTTTCCCTGAAGTCGTCCCAATATTGTATCAATCATTAAGTTTATAAGGACACAAATGATGATGCTAATTGTTAAACCTACTTGGTTTACCCACTGAGAACATCCTAGCCGCTTTATGTATGTCGTACTGACAATCAAAGCTCCATTAAATTAGCACACAATAACACTTACCACGCACGCACTAAACACATCGACATCAAACACCACTTCATCAGAGACTAACTAACACTGCACAACTTACAGCTAAAGTACATTCCCACACAAGACATGGTCGCCGACATCTTCACTAAACCGTTGCCGAAACTTAAGCACAATAAAGGTTTTGTGAAACGTTTTTATTTTTGGATCGCAATCTGTTTTTGTGTATATTGTATTTTGTGTTAGTGTTTAGTCTAAGTAAGAGTTAAATTTGTTAGTGATAGTTCTCCTTTTAAACTTAATTGTATGTGTGTATATAAGTGCTTTTTTCGATATGAGTTCATATTTACTGAACTACTAAATATGTGTCAATAGACACTTGTCACTCTGTCATCTTTTCTACTGCATGCCACTCTGGTGTTAATAAATATGTACATACAATAAATGTATGTTATGTCTCCCCGAAATAACAAGTTTAATACTTCGTTTGTCGCTGTTTCAGAGTCACCCGTACATCATGCGCCGGGAGTCCTCGGAGCGACTGGCGGGTAACGACCGCTACGAAGGTGGGGCTTGAAATCAGAAATGGTGTATAAAAACACACACACCTACATACTTATTTCATAACCATTTTAAAGTTCTTTCATAAGAATAAATCAGTTTAGTAACGCTCCAAAAAACCGTCAAATACTGCCGTTCCTTGTCGACTACAAAATCTTTTAAAATTACGTAATGTGTTTTATAGGTTTCTGCATAGAGCTGATAGACAAGCTGGCAAATCTGTTGCACTTCAACTACACTTTCGTAGAGCAGGAGGACCGCGACTACGGCAAGTACGACAACAAGACCAAGCAGTGGACCGGCATGATGCGCCGCCTCATGGACGACCCGGTCAGCACCGCTTTCATGTCTCACCCAATGGGCATCTTTTAGTTTAGTTCTTAGCATCTATTATATTTATAATTTGCTTCCGCGCCCTTACTTCTTCTTCGTTACAATTAGTTCTGCGAAAACCTTTTATAAATTTCCAAAAAACTTTAAGCTTAAAAGATGGATAGAATCGGTATAGTTGTTATCAAGTTATGGCGTGACTAAGAGTAATGGGGATTAAAGGACATTGTTCTGCGTCCATACATAGTTAGCCTAAGAACCAACAACCATGAAATATTATTTTCTAGGTTCGAAATCGCAAGTAAATGACTGTAAAAACAAAGATTATTGACGGACACTTCTGAGAACTTAAATTATTAGGAAAACTAAAATTTTTTTGAGGTTATGTTTAATATTCAATGAAACATAGGTCAACCAACGATCTAAGTATGAACTCAGTTTGAAGTGAATTAATATTACACCTAATTCATTTTATTCGGTGCGATTTTAAAGAATTACTATTAGAAAAAACTTGATTAGGTAGGAATCATGAATAAAATAAAAACTGTAGTTTTGCTTCTTATAATTTATTGGTTATTTTTCACATAATTGTATCATATTGTATTTATTTGTTTAACACGTGTATATTGTGTAAATATGCAGCGTGAATGTATATCAGGTGCTCTTGAATAATTTGGCAGTATGATCCTCTCAGGATGTTGAGGCACAGGTTCACTAGCACTTGGTAATAAGGTCTCTGCTTTTTAGTCACATCTATGGCATATTAGATAGCCGAAATAGTAAAAGGTAAATTAAAGGAAAAACAATCGCAAATAAACACACACAACAGGTAATCCGAAACGAGAATTTCCCGTATATAAAAAGTACTCTTTGACGAGAATGCACGAATGCCACAGATTACTACGAATGCAAACTGCCTGCACCACAACCACAGAGTATCGAGTTTATGCCGGCCCTTCACTTGACAACAGTTTGTCCTTGTCATGCTTAATAAGGAATGAGAAAGACAGACTGATGTCATGTTTTTAAATAGCAAATACGAATAGCCAAGTGAAGTGCCGGCATTAGGAAGAAAGAGTGTTTTTGATTGCAGCGCTGTCATAGATTATACACATATTTATTGTCTCAGATTATTTATTAACTTTTTAATTTAGCTTACTTAACTGGAAGTGTCCGTCACAATCTAAATACTGATAATTATCGCAAAAAATATACTAAGAATTATCATAAATGCCAAATTGGTGTTGGTTCTTAGGCCAATTTTAACATTGTCCTTTTACACTAGATTATGGCACTACGCGAATGCGAGAATATATTACAAAAACTTAAACGTTAATGTTGCAGGAAATCGATTTCGCCATTACGGACCTGACGATCACGGCGGAGCGCGAGGAGGTGGTGGATTTCACCACCACCTTCATGAACCTCGGCATCAGCATCCTATTCCAACGGCCCCAGCCGCCGGAACCAGAGGTCTTCGCCTTTTTACTGCCATTCTCTAATGGGGTATGTATGTATGTGTATTGTATTTCAGCAACATTTAGCATCCATCATACCACGTTCATCAACTCATGAAAGTTCGTTGCTGTTTATGGGCTGCCAAGAAACTTATTTACGTCTTTAAATAGACTAAAGATTAACCTTAGACATGTTACATGAGACTAAGGCTGCCATCCGTCCGGGTTTTCCCGGATTTGTCCTAGTTTACGGGGCGTCCGGGGAGCGTCCGGGCGGGGTTTCATTTGTAGTCCGGGTTTAAAAATTTCCTGTTTTGGGTCGCCAATTAATCCGTCAATTTAAATGTCTTTGAAAATAAATAAATATTTTCTCTCTCAAAAATCAGCTCTGCCAATGGAGAGTATTACTAGGAATTATTCAACCGGATGCCAGTGGCCAAATTTCTCCACAGCACCACACACCGCAGAGAAGTTTAACGCCCACCATCTGGACGCCTGAAGTTCGAGCACCATGTGTTCCTTTCTTTTGCGTACCAGCAAGATCTGGAGTGATCTTTCCTCAGTATTTTTTTCTTATAGCTATGATATGGTAATCTTAAAAAGGCGAATGAACCTTTTCCTTCAGACCCGGCAACGCATGAGTGGCCCTTGGTGCTGCAAGTTTCCATGTACAGCAGTGACCACTTATTATGAGGAGGACTGCTAGCTCTTTTGCCTACATCTACATAAAAAAAGTTGATTTGTGACATTTTTAACTGTTTTTTTATTGGTCTGTCCGGGTTCTGGGCTCCAAAATCCGGGGTTATCACGCGTCTTGTCCTGGTTGCCACATTTTAGACATGGCAGCCCTACATGAGACTCATAAGCGCTGACGAAGTTGAAAATGTAGTTCACTATGATATATCTATTCATTCTACATTAATTAATGTATGTTATTTAAGGGATTGTTACCATGTATCTTGTTTTAAGCGAGTTAAGTTTTATTTATTTATTTACAGGTTTGCCAACATTTTTACACCTTAACTTACACAATCTTTATCTTATTTGTAATATTACTTAGCAAAGTGCAAAAACAATTACATACTGGCAAACTCAACATGGAAATACATATATATAAAAGTAGTACACTGCAACTAAAGATTATTTAATAGTGTTGCAGATGTGTCGAAAAACGTATGACATTCGTGCGGAATTGGCACCCTCAAACTCTTGAGTATGGCATTTGTCCACTCGCCTGCAACATCCAACTTACCGCACCAATATCATAAAATATTATTTATCATAAAAAGTTAAAAATACTAGAGAAAGATTTTACCAGAACACCGCGGGTCGCGACGGAATGTTCGCAACGAGTGGTGCGGCTCATTCTTATATGAGCCTTATGCAATGCGGCGTAAGGCAGAAAGTGCAACGACATCTGCACTTGTTTACAACTTATGCGCGTTACCTGCGTATAAGTAGGTACTCGCGGGTGCTAGTTAACTCTCAATTTAACGGGACTTTTCTAGAATGCGTCGATTGGCGTATATAAGCACGATCGGCGGCGCACAGCAGACAGCCTCCCTCATGGGTCTCACCCGGTGGGCTTGACCGCGCCGAGGGCGATGAGTGAAGAAGCGGAGGCGGGGGTACTCGACCCACACGACCGTCTCGTCCTGATGACGAGACGCGAGCCCGACACCTCCGAAGTGGCTCACGCCAGAAGGGATTCCCCGCACGCCGCGGCGCCTACGGCGCCGGCGACGCGCGAGACGACGATCGAGAGACAGCAGACAGTTGAGTTTCAACAGTATATTGTGATTAACTTTGTGTTTAAACTGAGTGAACTGTGTTGTGAATAAAGAACTTTAAAGCGTGAACTGGCATATAATTTCGAACCCCTTCCCTGCACGTAACAATATCTGTTCTTTCTATACTTGATTCTTATCTACGTCTTTAATACGTCTGAGTAGTGGATGTTTAAAACCTTTAAAATATATGTTCCGGAAACAAACGCTGTTAAAAAGTTATTATTATGAGTGATCAAAATCAACGACATAATTTACCTGAATCGCATAATATGTAAAAATTGTGTGATTCGAAAAAATTGCATCTTGAAGAATGTGTGTCTTACTTATTAAACAAAATTATAATATACTAGGGATTCGCTCCGGTTTTCTCCCTAACAGGAAGCCTGCATCTTTACTAGGTACATAGAAGGAAACTTTCCGCATAAGTGATTTCAAAGGTGCCAATGGTACTGTGTAGAAATCAACCAAGACACCTATTCTTTTATGTTTAAAGGGTGGCAAACAAACATATGGCCCGTCTGATGGTAAGAAGCACCATAGCCGATAGACGCTCGCTATATCAAAAACATTGCCTACCCTGACCCAAGCGCCTACCCCGTGGAGCCCTGGAACCTCAGCGATAGAAACACAACACCACAAAGAGGAAGTGGTATTTTACTACGGTCTTCTGTAAGGTGGAAGTTATAATTCCCCAGACGGGAGCTCCAATTCGAGTAGAAAATCCGATATGCCGTACTTCTCTTAAAACCTTCCCCTCTCTTACAGGTATGGCTGTGCCTGGGGCTGGCGTACGTTGGCACGTCGCTCCTGCTGTACGTGGTCGGGCGGCTGTGCCCCGAGGAGTGGCAGAACCCGTACCCGTGCGTGGACGAGCCGCTCGCACTCGAGAACCAGTTCACTCTCGCCAACGCACTGTGGTTCAACCTCGGCGCCATACTGCTGCAGGGCTCCGAGATCGCGCCTGTGTAAGTTTACATACTACACTCAAGCTAAACTCTAGCAATAAAACGTGGATTTTAACTCATAATCATCATCATAATCAGCCGATAGACGTCCACTGCTGGACATAGGCCTCCTCTAAGGATTTCCAAACACGACCCTGTACTTTCCGCATACAGTAGGTCCCCCCGACTCGCTTGATGTTGTGAGTCCACCTGGTGAGGGGTCTACCGACACTGCGCTTCCCTGTGCGAGGCCGCTATTGAGGCTTCTTGGGACCTGCAATTTTAATTAGGACATTCTTATTTTAACAAGTGATCTTTTAATGTAGATATTCTGAATACACCGAATATCAGCTGAACCAGGTTTTGTTATATACCCCATTCCAATTGACATTCACGGTTTTATTAAAAAAAAATTAAAGCTACTGATATATATTTTATCATATTTCGATCTCGCAAGCTGTAAGTGCGTTTATTTTCAATCGTGCAATTTTCACAATGGTAATATATTTAAAACCTCGACCTCGTCCGAGCTCCGGAAGACCGGACACACCACTCTGCACTGGGTTATAGCTCATCTTATCTCATCATCATCATAGTCTATTAATGTCCCCTCTGCTGGGGCACAGACCTTCCCTATGGATGGAATAGGGAGATTGGGGGCCATGACCCACCACGCGGGCCCAGTGCGGATTGGTGGGTGCTAACGACTGCATATGCAGCCGGGACCAACGGCTTAACGTGCCTTCCGAAGCACGGAGGAGCTCGAGATAGTAATTTTTGGTCACCCATCCAATGACCGACCACTGCGAAAGTTGCTTAAGTTCAACGATCGCAGCCGAACGCGCTAACCACTTGCGCCATCGAGCTCCTCGGGTTATAGCTCAATGTCCCGTATTCCATCAATAGAATGTTGTATTTGTTCGCGAGGACTTGATGATGGTGTCGGTTGATGATGATGGCAATGTATTTCTCAAGGGCGTACGGTACTCGCGCCGTGGCGAGTGTGTGGTGGATATTCGCGCTGGTGATCACCAACGCGTACACCGCGAACCTGGCGACGCTGCTGGCCAAGAAGACCTCCACAGAGCTCATCCACGACGTCACTGAGCTCGCTAACAACGAGTTCGGCATCACTTATGGCGCCAAGGCCGGCGGCTCCACTTACACCTTCTTCGAGGTTAGTTTCTCTTGTTACAAATAGATGTGGTGAATTATGTAGATACTTACGATTCCACTTCTATTGACATAAAAGTAAATTATCATTTTCTGAATATCTTAACTTAAGAAGGTCCACTTTAATACATTAAAACACAAAAAATTACTTACAAAAATATGAAACTAAACCAGAGGGCCTACTACGAAAATTGGCCGACCAAAGAAACGACAATATCAGGGGTAAACATTTATTTCCTAAGTTAATGAATTTATTAAGAATGAACATTGTTTTGTAGCTCTAACCGTGATAATTAATCTTAGGATACGCTATAGAAATGAAATGTCTAATAATTCTAAGTCACACTAAAATTATTTCATACTTGCTGGAGTATATTTAAGCAATGTTTGATAGATTATATCTAACAAATATAATCAGTTGAAGGACAAGCTTCGTTCCGAATACCGCTTCTCTTTTGTTGCAATTCCTTAAAAACCTACAATTGCCTAAAAATATAAAATAGCATGACTAGTAGAAGAAAATTGCTTCACTTTTGGTTACAGCACTCCCAGAACCCAATGTATCAGAAAATGTTTGAAGAAATGAACAAGCAGAAACTGCCAACGAGCAACGACATTGGTATTGAAAAGTATGTATGTACACTTTATTCAACTTTATTAAGAAATATGAGTGTATTTGGATTCATAACTTTTAAAACTTTGGAAAGGGAATTACAAGAGCATTATATTTAACGGATGTTATTTAACTCATTTTATCCATTTTAGTAGTCACTGCTCAATTAATGAAGGTAAGTGTTAATCTCAACCAAGTAAGCATAGTGATATCCTATGTCCGTGGTCTCAACCCATAATTTTCATCTGTAGGGTAATGACTGAAAACTACGCTTTCTTTATGGAGTCCACGAGCATCGAGTATACCATCGAGCGAAACTGTGAGGTCACTATGGTAAGTGAGCTCTAACTTATGATTCTCCGAAAAAGTGAAGTTTTTAGTCACTTTTATATGCCCCTGTTTGTGTGTTTACAGGTGGGAGAGAATCTGGACAGCAAAGGTTATGGAATAGCTATGAAGAAAAGTGAGCATATTTCAAAGTTTTGATGTAGCCTCGTTTGAACATGTTCTGAATCAACTTTGAACCCTTATCAACAGATTCGACGTACCGGCACGCGATGAACCTGGCGATGTTGAACCTGCAAGAGAAGGGGGTGTTGCGTGATATGAAACACGAGTGGTGGACACAGAAGCACGGCGGCGGCGCTTGTCAGGTGCTCTTTCTATACCATTTTCGAAGTAATCGTTTAGTACAAAATATTCTACTCAGGCTATTACTAGATACAGAATAGCGCCTTTTACCATTCGGGCGATCTAGTAAACATTAATACTACCCACCTCTAACGGACGCGTCATTTGTCTTTTGGACCACTGCGAAAGTTGCTTAACTTCAATAATCGCAGCCGGACGCTCTAACCACTTGCGTCATCGCGCTCCTCGTCTATCATATCATAGCAGTACAATGCATAAAATATATTACACCACATTGTACACCGCATATTGAGGTGTTCTGCGAGTGTCTATTTTTTATTTCCTCCCAGGCGGGAGAGCGGGTGTGAAATCCTGATGGATCCTGACCGAACGAATCCTACACACCCGTGGAAAGGATGCCGATGCGATCGTTCACCGAGAAGGGGATGATGCAGTCTGCGAGCGTTCCGAAATTTGGTGTTTCAGGTGCCGGACGAGCACGAGAGCCAGAAACTGTCGATGGCCAGCTTCCTGGGGCTGTTCCTGGTGCTGGTGGTGGGATGCGTGGCGGGCGTGGTGCTGTCGTGCTGCGACCTGGCGCTGGCGGCGCGGCGCCCGCGCGGCTCCACGCACGCCTTCCGCACGCGCTTCTGGGAGGAGTTGCGGTTCGTCTTCGACTTTGAACGGTCCGTCAAGCCGATGCAGGTATGCTATTACTTCATCTACACGGACGTTTGGCCCGCTCCGCCAATCTATCCGTGCTAAGCGTCAGATTTTACCTTTACACGAGAGCGCGTTACACGCCTTTTTGCGCGGGTTAACGCCATTTATTATATGTATTTTGTATAACATAAAATAAGAAACGAATGGATACACGCTGAGCTGAAAGCCAGGCCGTTTCACAGGCAAAGTAGGAAGGCTGGTTTTCACCTATGCTATATATGATGTTGTTATAAACAAACATATATGATTGTCAGACACTTTTTGTGGGCCACAATTTTTACCAGACACATTTATGAAGTGTCTGCCAAAAGTTATGGCCCCCAGATAGTGTTTGTTTATGACAATTTCATTAAATAACCTAAGTAAAAACCAGCCTTCCTACTTCTATGTACGTTAACATAAATTTACTACCTATCAACCACGTTTTTTACCTACTAGCTTCGCTTCTTTCAGGCGTCCCTAGACGGCACTGTTCTTTTGTATGTAAAGGTCTGAATAAATAACTCCATCCTACCTGATGTGCTGCAGTTTTACCGGCCGAACCAGCCAGCCCGCTTCTTCGCGCCTCTTTTAAAGGATATCCAATTAATCTTGATAATTCGCTTTCTACTTTGATTTACATGGTTTCTAGATACAAACGAGAAAAACGAGGGAAACGGTTTAGCCCCAAGGAACTTGAAATAGATTCGGGGTATTTTTATTCGAAAATATAAACACGAACAGCGTATGTGTGTACAGGATCGGATTGGAAATTAATAATTTGTGTCCATATTTAGATATAAATGTGTGACAGTTGTTGGCACTATCAAAAATAGTGCCACCAAAATGATTTGGCCGATTGTAAGGAGACTATTAAACGAACTCTATCGACGACCGTGGTGCAGCTGGCACACTGATTTTCAGGGTGTTCCAGACTCTAAAAGGTGGATTCTCAGCCTAGTCAACGTTTCTATAATATCGTCTCGGGTATTCTTTTTGTCTCTGTAGGACGAATTCCACATTGGACGAATTTTACTGACCTCCATTGTTCCTGATTTTGAATGCAGGGTCCGCTGATTGAGGAGTCGCCGAGCACTACTCCAGCGAGGTCATCATCCACTCGTCGCGAATCGGAGGGGGAAGGGGAAGAAGTGGAGGGGGAGGAGAGCCCCGATGAGGCGAGACTGAGGTCCATGTCGCTGCAGTCTGCGGGTGCCGGCAACGGGGGCAACGGGGGCGCGCCCTGCTCGCACGCGGGGGGCAGGTGGGTACATGTAGTTGCTGCAGTGTTTCATCAACAGCTTATTAATATCGCCACTGCTGGGGTTCTGGGGTTTTCCTACGAATGAGATAAAGAGAATGAGCCGTGGCCCACCATGCGGGCCTAGAGCGATGGGTGGATGTTAACTTTTATATAATAGTGTGGCGGCAGTGTGGGAAGGCTAAAGGGGAAGATCTTCCTCCGAGCTGGGTGATGGTAGCTCGGTGCCGCGGCCCGACTGATGTTGTTCGGGCATCGTATATATGAAGAGTTAGCCTCCGAATTTCATTTACGCGATGTAGGCTTCCATACTATTAAGATCGCAGTGCAGGCCATCTCTTGAGGATGGTGAGTAATGATTTCCTCCATCCGTTGTATATATGTGGGGCATATAGATGTCGCCGCCACAATAGAAATACTAGTTCAAAGACAGCACTTTATTTAATGAATGTAAACACACTGACAAGATAAACAGGAATGACATACAAAAACAATAGACATAGAAAACGTTGTCGGTTCATAGGTTTCCAATTCATTAGATAATAGTGCCTTCGGTTTTCTAGGAAGAAAGTTATATGCTGGTCCATCAGTTACTGTTGTGGTTCCTTGACGTAGATGCTTCTGGCTCTACATCGTTTTGGCTTGTTGTCGTAATGTCCGGATTGGATCTTGTAGACGTAGACTCGCAATTACGTATTACTCCGCCTCCATTAGATATTTCTGAGGTCTCAACAATTTGAGTTGACAGCTCTGATTGGTCATCGTAGTCCTCATCATAATTATCATAGTAACCTGGAAAAAACAATGGTATAATTTTTGCTTTTTCATGTGTTAATGTACCTGGGAATGACGACTCATTAAATATCACATCTTGGCTACGTATAATAATCTTGTTTTGAATATCATATAACCTGTATCCATGAGTTTCGAATCCAAATAAAATATATCTCTTACTTTTTGGCTGTAATTTGTTGCGTTTACATTTTTCGATATGTAAGTACGCTTCACAACCAAACACGCGTAAATGTTTTATGCTTATAGTCCAGTCCAGATTTTTTCAGGAATATTACCCGATCATTTTTTTGACGGTGTCATATTAATCAAATAAGCAGCTGTCCTTACACAGCTTCTGCCCAAAATTTATGGTCGAGTTTCGCTGTATATAAAAGGCAACGAACCTTTTCTAATAACGTGCAATTAAATCGCACAGCAGATCCATTTTCTGATGGACATTAAGGTATGGTAACCTGGTAATCTATCCCTTTAGCTTTGAAATAATCATTCAAACTCGGTTTACATACTCTCCGCCGTTATCTAACCTAAGAATTTTTAATTTGTCTCCAGTCTGTGTTTCAACTAATCTAATAAAATTCTTAATAATTTCACTTACCTGACTTTTACGTTGTAAGCAATAAACAAAGACTTTTCTAGTGTGATCATCAAGAAATGTTAAGATGTATCTCTTACCTCCTAAAGAGTTAACTAGCATTGGCCCACATAAGTCCGTGTGGACCAAGTCTAGTCTGTGTGATGCAACCGAAGTTTTAGGTTTGCGTGGAAACGGAAAAGAGCTTGTTTACCTTTCAGACACGCTTCACAAAATTCATTAGAATCTGGGCTATCTCTGAAATTAATATCATCAGTAACAATGTTTTTTACCAATTTCATGTAAAATGGATTAATATGCCCTAGTCTCTGATGCCAAATTGTATTATCATTTACAGTTATATTGGCCCTTGGACAGATTTGAATTTTATAAGCACCACCTAACTCATAGACAGTAAGAGTTTTACCATTAATATCTTTGATAATACAAATATCCATTTCAAATTTAATTTCATAACCATTCCTAGCTAAATGATAATTGTGGTGCATACATTACATCCTGAAGTTCAATTGGGTTTGACAGCATTATATTACCTATACCTGTACATTTGAATACCTTACCATTGGCAATTGTAACATGACTATCGCGAGTATCAAAGTTTTGCAGTAGTTCACGTCGACCAGTCATATAGCTCGTAGCTCCTAATTAAAACATAAAAGAAACAACCTTCTCTTCTTCTAATCTTCTTGAGAGTGAAACGCTGAATATATACCATTTTCTATTGATGTATTCGCGTAGTAGTAAGTAGACGCGTTGTTCTGACAATCCTTAGTCCATTGTGTCTTATCACTACATTTAAAACACCAAGGCTTCTTCTTCTTTGGTTTTTCTTTGTTTATATCAGTATCGTGGTTGTCATTTGACTTTAACTTATTTTTGTTACGAACATTGTTGTCATGACTTGTGCTTACACGATTATGCTTGTTCATATTTATATTCGTGTATAAGCACTCGGTTGTAGCAGAACTATCAACAGTCCAGCGTTTATCTTGGAGAAGTTTAGTCTTAATCAGGTCACTTGTTACTCCCGAGTGAGTGTCCAAGGCATTATCATCGGTTCGAAGGTAGGTGTCAATCCTTGTAGCATTATAGCTCCTTAGAATTTATCATTTACTGGTTTATTCAATGCTGAAAGTTGTTGCGATAGAGAAATTATTTCATTCACATATCTTTCCATATCTGGGAAATTTTCCAGTTTAATGGAGCACAAACTTGGCAATAAACGTAAACGACAATTTAACCCCTTTTCTCCATAAACCTTTTCTAGGGTTTCCCATGCCTCTAGAGATGTCTTGGCATTCATTAAGTGCGTGAAGCAATTACGATTTACGCTCAAACATATTTTTGACAATGCTTTTACATCTTTTCGCTAACGTGTTTCAATCGTAGTTTTATTGTTATATCAGAGGGGTAACCAACAATACAATGGCAAAAATTATCGTGAAACAGTATATTTCGCATTAAAAACTTCCACTAAATAGTTAGAACGTCCATTAAATTTTTCGAAATTATTTAAATTATTGAGTAATTGACTCGTACCTGATTTTGTATCGTCCCCAGACATTATTGCTTCAAATCTTCAGTGTAACTGTTTCTATTATGTAGATTTCGCCCATAACCATTTATATAATAGAAAATCTAGTTAAAATAAAAATAAAGTGTTGTCTTCTAACTACATTTTCTATTATATAAAATTAACGACTACAAATACAGGCGGGACCAACGGCTTAACGGCCTTTCGAAGCACAGAGGTGCGAGAGTTAATAAATGTTGGTCACTCATTCATGATATAGTTCTTCTTACTGCAAAGAAACTACTAGTTTTATAGTTTAGTTATATTTGGATAGTATAAATACTATTTGGTTTACAAATTTTCGGCCGTGACTTCGTATGTCAATAAGAAGTATGTCTGTCTTAATCGAGGTCATAGTGCCAATTGAGGAGGAGCTCGATAGCGCAGATGGTTAGCACATTCAGCTTGCGATCGTGAAAGTTAATCAACTTTCGCAATTGTCGGTCATTGAATGGGTGACCGAAAACTTATTATCTCGATTTCCTCCGTGCTTCGCAAGGTACGTTAAGCCGTCGGTCCCGGCTGTATTTGCAGCCCAGTGGGTCATTCTCCAATCTCTCCATTCCATCTATAGGGAAGGCCTGTCCTCTGCCGCGGGGACATTAATAGACTGCTGACGATAAATCATTAAAATATTTAATTAAACTGCAATATGTTTATTATTAGTTGGATTCTGTATGGTATTGTTGTTCGTCAGATGGTCCCGGCGGCGGTCGTCGATGCACGCGGCGAGTGTGCGGCTGGCGCGACACGCCTCCCGCCGCGAGCGCGAGCGCCGCTCATCCTCGCCGCACGCGCCGCAAGCGCTACACGCCGCGCACGCGCCACACGCCGCGCACGCTCCACACGCCGCGCACGCGCCGCACGCACCGCACGCACCACACGGGGCACACGCCGCGCACTCCACCGACGACCAGCGCGGCGGATGATGAACGCCATCAACATTATCCGTACACATGGAAAATGGACTACGCAATACTGTTATGATAATTACAACTCTCTACAAACGGAGAAAAAACTACCATCACATAATAGATTGGCTGCAATATTATTTCAGTTTCACTACATGGTTAGCTACGAAACTCGCAGTCTATTTTCTTTGTCTGAACACTTATACTCTGTTCACATTGAGCCTCTACGCGACAACTAGCGGGGACATGACACGGCTCATAAAACGGGGATAACGCAAGCATATAAACATCTCTCTTCTTTTGTTCGAAGATCTCTTAGACTTTAAGTGATTCTCGCCCTGCCCAGCACTACGCTGCGGGGTGCAGATCTGCATTGCGTTTTGAATGCACTACGCATGTTTCAATGCAAAGAGATGAACTTGCAAGCAACGTAAAAACATGCACTCCCGCGATACGCAGCGTAGTGCGTAACAGTGTGAGAATCGCCTTACTGTCGACGTTGGCGGTCGCGCTACCCATATATGAAATTACCTTTGGAGGGTTGTTCACAACACTCCGCCGCAGTTCGAATGAAATAATTCACTGTGACCAAATGGCGTCAAATTAAAGCATTAGAAATTATTATAAGGTATTCAAAAAAAACCTTACATTGTACTTTATATAGTGTGCTTTTGTTAATGCCCAATTTTATCTTAGAATTTTATACCTAAGAACAAAATGAGTACTTAAAATACTTCAATGTAAGCTAGCGAATTAAACTGTCTCGTTGAATACTAGTCAAGTGATAAATAATGTATTTATTGTTTGTACTTATTAGGGTATTGTGTGTAACATACTTATATTAAAATGAATGAATAAACAAGTATTTGTTTAAAAAACCTTTTTTACTAGCTGACCGAAAATTTTCTGTCTTGCCTATTTTTTTTTCTTTCCATTCAACAGCGTTCCCCTCTGTCGATTTTCCCCCGCTGTTGGGCCAGCTCAAAAAGAAAACTAGTTACGCTCAGATATTTCACTCGACTGACTGAAGTCGCGCGAGTGAAACACACTAACACTAAAGAGACACTTCTTTAGTGTTTAAAGCAATCAGCAAATAGCACTGTCTCACACAAATCTCTGAAAAAGTAAGGAAGGTTATTGATATAAATAAGGAAAATAAGGTAAATTTAAAAAACCAAAAAACACGACTGCTTAAATCTATATACTTAATAATAAATCTGTAGAGAGGTCAATTCTGTACATGAAATATATTTTCAAAATAACTATCAGGGGGTGATTAGTGATCGATACTGATGCCAAAAATGCAATCAGTAAAAATTTTGTCTGTCTGTCTGTCTGTCTGTGTGTATGTTCCTTATAGAAACAAAAACTACTCGACGGATTTTAACGAGACTTGGTACAATTATTCTTCATACTCCTGGGCAGGTTATAGTATACTTTTCATCACGCTACAATCAATAGGAGCAGAGTAGTGAAGGGAAATGTTGGGTAAACGGGAGAAGTTACTCCATTTTTTCAGCTTCCGTCGCGTGTGCAGCTTTAATGGTTAAAGTTACATAGAAATTATGTATGACGGAAATATTCTACATAAAATTGTCTAAAAAATATCCCGCAACAGCATATATCTATCTTTTATGGTTGACTCACAATAACACGTGTAACTCCTGATAGCTTAGCAGTTCGGAGCATTCCGATTATATAACGTAAATATGAGAATTTTAGTTTGATTATAAATACAGGTAATAAAAATAACCGTTTTTATCTATATATATGTATATAAAAGTCAAAGGGGACTGACTGACATAGTGATCTATCAACGTACAGCCCAAACCACTGGACGGATCGGGCTGAAATTTGGCATGCAGGTAGATGTTATGACGTAGGCATCCGCTAAGAAAGGATTTTGATCAATTCTACCCCCAAGGGGATGAAATAGGGAATGAAAGTTTGTATGAAACTTTGTCAATTTTAAACCAATCGGGCTGAGACTTTGCATGCAGGTATAAGAAGAATCATAGATGAATGTCATTGTGTTTAATACAAGCCTGAGTAAAAAAACTATAGTGTATACTTCAGCTCTACAGCGAAGCGAAGCGAGGGCGGGCCGCTAGTATTCAATAAAAACTAAAAAGAAAAAAAGAATTCCTGTATTGTATAATTCTGTAAAGTAAGGAACAAAGCTACTTTAGCAGTCGGGACCCATTAGATATTTAAGAATGGAATAAATTTTTCAATAATGGGTCCCGACTGTTAAAGTAGCTTTGTTCCTTACTTAACAGAATTATAGACTTGTTTTTTTTTTCAGTTTTTATTGAAGTAATCAGTCAGTTTCTTCCTTTATATATTTAGAAGAAGATTAATACTATAATTGAAAATGTATGTAAGTAACAGTACATACATTTTGCAGCACCAGCACTATCTGCCAGAAAGAAAAATGTGTTCTACGAGAAATCTTGTACTGTTACAATATCTGAAATATACCTTTTAATTTAGTAATAGTTTTAAGCAAGAACTGGTTTAGGTATATTTGTTAAAGAAATTAAAGACTTTGAACTAAGTACGCATTGTAGAGTCCTAATTTGAGTTTTCGTCTCCTTATACATTTTAAGATAATCGGGAGTTTAGTCTGGCTATCGGAGGCAAAGGTAGATAATATTTCAGGAAATCGGGAGATATGGTAACACGGCTGGCAAGTCCCTCCTGCTCTGCTCCTGCGACTGACAACACTGGCAAGGGGGCTACTCACAAAGTTCGTAAACGCATTTTGAAAAAAAATATTAAGGGCAATCATAATTATATTTATTTATATTCAAAGCATCAAAATGTCATTCTGCATAATTTGTTGAAAGTGTTTAATGCAATGCAATTATACATAATATACTACTTATGTAGGTACTTTACACATATAAACTTGTGAAGAGTGATCCGACCGCCAAGATTCTCAAAAAGACAAGTGAACTCATCAAATCACTTTCCGAGACGTTGGATCTTGACATCAACTACCTAATTCCTGTAGGTAATTAAGTAATTACTTATTACATTTTTTTAACAAAATTAAAAAATGACTTCATAGTAAAAAAACCGCTAAAAATGAAGAAATATCTTTTACCTAAATGTAAAGTACTTTTAAAGTAAAATAAATGAAACATTTGGAAACGTACCTCAAGGACGATCCTTCGTTTTGGCTATCATTGATTCCATTTCACACATTTGGTCATACGCCATCATATTTGTTTATAAATATCTTTCATTATTAATTCCTGGAAATACACAATTTCAAAAATATCACGCACTATTCATCATTTCGTAAATATGTATAGGAATCCCATCACACAAAAATCACTTTTCCAGAGTGCTGGACACATACCGGCATTATCCTATATCCTTATATTTATCTGTGTAAAAAAATTTAGTCCCTTTTGCCATATTTTATTCTGTTTTATCTATTTTTAGGTATATTTTGTTTATTTATTTTCTTGACATCTTAAAGTTTTTCTCCGTTGCCATGGCTACCTCTACACGGATACTCTCTTCTACTAGGTCTATGGCTATTCAACCTCCACAAACCACCTACTTTGATGCTTTTCAGCCATTTATATAAGGCCTAATATATAAGGCCGAGCCACCCTGATCCATCATTCATTCCTTCGGCAAAAGTTGCCAACTCAACTTTTGATAGCTCGCTACCGAGCTCTTAATTACTAAAAGGCCGTGTCCTTTACTCAAGGAAAGACCTCAAAGCTAATTAGCACCCTTTGGCTTTCTGAAGTACTCTCTACTCGACTATACTACACTAAACGGTCATCCTCTCCAACGCCTACTGCCGTCCGGACTCCAGCAGCGTCATCTAGGATCCAGCTGCTTCGGCCCGCCTACCACCGGCGCCTACCGTTCCACCAGTAGTACCGGTCGTCTCAAGACTTCGCCGGCCAACCTACCAGCAGCGCCCGCCAGCCACCACCAGGGCAGGCCAAGAACCGAGACGCCTGAATAGGAGTGCTTCTGCCTCCCAGGAGCGCCGCCCGTCCACCAGCAGTTCGTCCTCCAGACCCTCAAGCTGCCTCAGAGAAGATCGCTGAAACCCCACACTACACACACAGAAAAACTAAGATGTCAAGAAAAAAATTTAAACAATATTATTATTAAAACCGTGCCTAAAAATAGATAAAACAGAATAAAATATGGCAAAAGGGACTAAATTTTTTATTACAGATTGTAGACTGTAAACTCACTTTATTTTAATAAAACCACTACTTTAACCGAAACTATGTATTTTCCAACGAACTGACAACTAACAACAACGTAACTAGAGAAACAACGACATTGAGGAGTTTTCAATGCTTTGTAAATTTAACATAAACTATACCATGGAGTATGGTTATACAAAATATCTCATGCAAACATACGTTAAATATATAAACTTTAAAATATTTAAATAAATAGATAAATCAACTCCAACATCCTCCGCCGCCAAGGATATGCTTATCCTTGTGAATCTCAAACTTCAACCAGGAACACAGCTTAGAGACTTAGGATAAGTACGAACATCTGGTAAGTTACCCATGAATTGGTTACTATTTGCAGAATTTTATATCTGGACTTTTTTTCGTTGTCGATTTTTTTTATTGTTTGATCACCATTAATAATCCAGTCTTTATTTTGCAGGTATGCAGTCATTAGTCGAGGACCTCCGTGCTGCGTTGCTTTATGCGCGTCATCCAACAAAAGTGTAACTAGTGGACAATCTTTGTTAAGTATTATTGGTTATATTCTTTCATATTTCAGGTTTGCATGTTTTAAGCGCCCACCAACTCTCAGGATCTCATTCTCATCCAGGTAAGGATATAGTGGTAGTAACCGACTGTTTCTCTTAATATTTCTATTTTTTCTCAAACAATCTTTTTCTTCTGCAAAATCTATCTCTTGGGCTTTATACATGATATAAGCGCATCTTCTCTTTCATTAGTATCAATGGTTTTATGCAATATTTTTTCCTTTTTCAGTTTTCTCAACCATCGACGACAGTAAGCTATAACATTTAATAGTTTTTTAAGCGATGAATACTTCTTAATTAGTATAAGTTTATCATTTTCATTCTCTTTAATAACATTGGTAAGTATACATTTTACATTTGCTCGTTTCTCTATCTCTGTATCAGGAATAATTTCTTTACTCATCTTAAAATCTGAATGTAGCCGTAAAAATTCTGGACCATGCCACCATAAATCACATTCTTTGAGTTTGCTAGGCAAAATTCCTCTTGATGCTGGATCTGCTGGATTCTCTTTGCTTTTAATGTGAAGCCACTGTGACTCTAAATTATTTCTTATTTCAATGACTCTATTTTTAACAAATGGTGATCATCTATTCGGATCGCCCTTTATCCATGCTAAAACCACTTTAGAATCTGTCCAAGCAAATATTTTTCTATAACTTACTGCAAGTACTGCACCAACATGCTTTAACAGCTTACTCAACAACGTGGCTGCACACAATTCAAGTCTTGGTAAAGACACTTGCTTGACAGGCGCCACCTTTGTTTTAGATATGATTAAACTGACTCTATAATCTCTTCCATGTTTGTTCAGTACTCTGATATAGACTACGGCAGCGTAGACCACTTGAGATGCGTCTGAGAAGCCGTGTAACTCTATCTCAGCTTCTGTACTACATCCTGTCCATCTTGGAATTTGTATATCTTCGAGCACAGGTAAGTCTTCTTTATATTTATACCATTCTTTTTTCAGGTCATCAGAAAGTTCTTCATCCCAGTCAATCTTTCTGAGCCATAACTTTTGCATAAATATTTTAGCTAATATTATCGAAGGAGAAATCCACCCCATCGGGTCAAATAGTGAAGCTATTTGGCGAAGTACGCTTCGCTTGGTAAGTCGTTGACAATTCTCGTGTTTCAGATATTTCTGAGCTATTTTCAAGATATCTTCTACTGGATTCCATAAAATACCTAATGTCTTTATACACTCTTTGTTATTGAATTCTGATTCTATACATTTAGCTCTATATTCAGGATCTATTGACATCATGAATTCTTGACTATTAGATGATATCTTCTGCATCTCAAATCCTCCATTTTTTAACATCTGGGAAAGTTGTTCTTGTGCCTCTTTTGCAGACTTGACATCCTCAAAACTAGATAATACATCGTCCATGTAAAAATCTTTACATACTAATTTCGATGCTATTGGATACCGCGCACCTTCATCTTTAGCTAGCTGTCTTAATGTTTTTATTGCTAAGTAAGGAGCAGAGGCAGTGCCAAAAGTGACAGTAAGTAATTTATATGTTTTTACCTCTTCATTAAGATCAAATCTGTATAATATTCTTTGATAGTTTGTGTCCTTTTCAAAAACTCGTATCTGGCGATACATTTTTACGAGATCTCCTATAAAACAAATTTTATAAGTCCTCCATCTCATTATGATGTCTCGTAGCTCTCCTTGCAAATTAGGACCTATCAACAACTCATCATTAAGTGATACTCCATTACTACCTCGACATGAAGCATCAAATACTACTCGCACCTTCGAAGTTTGTTTATCTTCCCTCACGACCGCGTGATGCGGTAAGTAGACTGTATCTTTCCTCACTATTACATGTTACTAACTCCATATGATTTAAGGTTATATATTCTCGAAGTACCTTATCATATTCTCTCCTTAAATTCTCATTTGTACTCAATCTTTTCTCTAAGCACTTTAATCTTCTCATTGCTATGGCTTTCGAATTCTCAGGTAAGATTGGTACATCTCTTGCAAACGGTAAAGCGACAGTATATCTACCTTCTTTATCTCTTGCTACCGTTTTATCATAAATCTCTTCAGCTCTTTCTTCTTCTAACGTTAATGCATTTTTATTCTTGCTCTCAAATGATTCGCATTCCCAAAATCTTTGTAGCATGTTATCTAATGAAACACTCAAGTGCATGCTAATAATATGACCATTGCTTGATATTCTTTCAACTGAATCACCACCAGAGATTATCCATCCGAAACTTGTTTGCTGGGCGATGGGTTCTCCTGGGGTTCTCTTAATAACTCCATTCATTAATATGTCTGCATACACATGTACACCAAGCAACAGATCTATCTCACGAGGCTCATGGAATGTTGGATCTGCGAGTTCTATATTTTTAAAGTGAGTCCATTGCTCATAGTTTATTTTCGCAGCTAGTATTATGTCTGTCACGTTCTTCACAACATAAGCAGTGCATTTTATTTTAAACTCTTTATTTACTCTCGATGACAGCTGTAACTCCGCCGCATGATAGAACGGGGTTGACATTTGTCCCACTGCTGATACTTGTCCCTTTTTCTTTATGCATCTTATTTGTAGTTTCTTTACAACTGCTTCACTTATAAACGATTCTTCAGAGCAGGGATCTATTAGAGCTCGTACAATTTGCTGACCTCTGCCTGTCTCAATATGAACTAATGCAGTTGCTAATAATGACACTCGACCTCGCGTAGATGCATGTGACAAAATATTCTGACTTATTGGTTGTTCGTCTATATTTCTCATTTCTCTCGTGGTACTATTAATCTCTAGTTCCGGTTTCTCTAAATGTAGTAGTATATTATGTTTCCGCTTACAAATGTTACATCTTATTTTAACTCTACAAAATCTTACACCATGACCAGGTCGCAAACAATTAAAACATAATCTCTCATTTTTTGCATACTCTGTTCTCTTCGATGCATCTAGGGTACCAAATTCTTTACAGTTACTTGTGTAATGATTTTGTTTACAGTATGAACATTTAATATTAGGCTCCGAATTTTGTTTAGTATTGTGATTCTTTGAAGTTGTGACAAATGACTTTGGTTTCGAATTTTGTTTAGTATTGTGATTCTTTGAAGTTGTGACAAATGACTTTGGTTTGATAGTGTCTTTCTCTCTTGCATGTGAAGTTTGCATCATCTCTGTAACTCTAAATCTTCCTTCTAAAAATTTTGTAAATTTTTCTAAACTAGGCAGCTCTTCAACAGCTAAGTTTTGTAACTCTTCTTCCCACAACTTATGTGAACCTTGATCCAACTTATTTATAATGATGTAAATGATCAAAGGATCCCAATTATCAGTTTTAACATCATTATTTCTCAAACTGTTCAAACACTCATTTGTTGTGTCTAAGAGATCTTTTATTCCCTTCGCTGTTTCAGAATATAACTTTCTTTGGCCTAGTAATCTATTCAGGATTGAATTTACTATTATTCTTTTATTATTGTATCTGTGGTGTAATGTAGACCACGCCGTTTCATAATTCTTCTCTGTGATTTGAATGTGCTTTAGAAGAAGCTCTGGTTCACCACTCACACTGCTTTTCAAATAATGTAATTTTTGTACATTACTTAATGTATTATTGTTATGAATTAATGATACATATAAATCTTTGAAAGTAACCCATTCATTATAATCTCCTTTGAAATTGGGTATATTAATCTTAGGCAATTTCACTTCCTGAGAATTCTTTTCCAATGGAATTTGCTGATCATTCTTCACATTTTGACATTTCATACTATCTAGCAACTCCGTCATATCTGACTTACTTAAAAGATACTCGTCTTCACATGTAGAATAGAAGTCATTTTCAAAGTACTCGTGTTTCTGTCTTTGCTCGGATGTAGATTGTTTAATAATATCTCGATGTGTTTCACAAAAATCCTGCCAATGTTTATCCAAACTTTGTAATCTTACTTCAATATAACTCTTTGTCAATCTAGGTTTTGGCGATTTTTTGAAATTAGCTACAGCCCTTCGTATAAGTGCAAAATTGTTTTTCTGTAGTACTATAAGATCATCCATCATGTAATTGTTACTTTATTTTAAGAAAAAGTTAAATTTCAAATCGTCCAATATTTGGTGTTTTTACCCTACCATAATTTTTCATGTTTTTTCATAATAATGGTTAAAAGTCTTTCAATCACTCAATTCAATATTAAATTATTATAATTCTTTTGTAAACACAGTTAATAAGTCTTTAGAAACACGAATACGTAAGATAAAATTCTTATTTTTACGGTCTTACTCAATTCCAGTTTGAAATGTCAAACATCATTACTATCACAAATTATATTTCTCCGTACTAAATTTTCTTCTTATAACTTATTTAAACTTTCTTTTTTCTATCTGGCTCGATTTGGACCAAATTGTAGACTATAAACTCACTTTATTTTAATAAAACCACTACTTTAACCGAAACTATGTATTTTCCAACGAACTGACAACTAACAACAACGTAACTAGAGAAACGACGACATTGAGGAGTTTTCAATGCTTTGTAAATTTAACATAAACTATACCATGGAGTATGGTTATACAAAATATCTCATGCAAACATACGTTAAATATATAAACTTTAAAATATTTAAATAAATAGATAAATCAACTCCAACACAGATAAATATTTGGATATAGGAAAATGCCGGTATGTGTCCAGCACTCTGGAAAAGTGATTTTTGTGTGATGGGATTCCTATACATATTTACGAAATGATGAATAGTGCGTGATATTTTTGAAATTGTGTATTTCCAGGAATTAATAATGAAAGATATTTAGAAACAAATATGATGGCGTATGACCAAATGTGTGAAATGGAATCAATGATAGCCAAAATGAAGGATCGTCCCTGAGGTACGTTACATGCCATAACAGAAAAAACAATTAAAATTCTACACGCGAATGGCTTAAGCCGAATTAAACTGGCCGGTCAAAAAACCCGAGTGAGAGACAGATCAAGTATTACTTTAGTGCTTGTAATTAAACTTTGCCACAAATATTAATCCTACTATTATGTACTTGTTTTATTTTCCTAGCCAATCATAGAAAAAGTTTCCTCAATACATTAATCTAAAACCTATTGCCTGCAAAATCGGGAAAAGCTACTTTAGCTTTTATGATTATTTATTAAATTCCTCTTATTTTGAATTCGTCTGTCTGAAGCAAATTAGACTTTGCTCGATTACAATTTCGTGTATAGAGAGTAGGGGTACAGCGAGTCGCTCGTTACCTTCGGAGCGTGCGCGGTAGTGGCAGCACTTGGTGCGCCGCCGCGGGCTGTATCGAGCCGCGCCGGATGCCTTCACCGCCGTCACCGGCGTAGGGACACGAAAAAAGTATCGATACTTTGTGGTATCGAGTACTTTTCCTTTCGATACCTTTACTTTTGTACTCGATACTTCAACTAAATGAGTACTTTTTGGCAAGTATCGATACCTTTAAAATTTTGGATAAGCGCCTTATATTGATTGCAACGCCATCTAGTGGAATCATAGCAAACCTTCTAAAACAATCCATTGTGTTGATATAATTGGAAGCACAAGCAATCTAGTGTGTCCTGAGACTTACGTACTTGAATTACGCACGTTTAGTTTTACAGTTGATTATATTAACATTACACATTTTTAAGAGTATCTACATAATATACAAAATATGTGAATTTACATGTCCTCTTTTTGTTTTTGATTATACGTACTATAATAAAATTAGATTGTTTTTCTTTTAATTTTAACCCGGGAGAGGGGGGGGGGGGGAGTTGCTCATAAGGCCCTATGAAATGTACTCGATACATCGAAGTATAGTTACTTTTGTTCAAAACTTTTATGAGTACGATACTTTTTTTCCGATACTACTCATAATAAATATTTCCAACATAAATATTTCCAACACTCACACCAATTAGCCTAGCCCCAATGTAAGCACTGTAAGGCTTGTGTTATGGGATACTAGGATAGAATACATATACTGTACATATATTGGTATAATTATATAGAAATACATATTAAATATCCATGACTGGAGTACAAATGCTCGTATTCATCACACAAACATCTGCCGCCACTGGGATTCGAACCCGGGACCTCTCGAGTCGGCGACACCATGAAACCCGGCGTACAAACCACTCGGCCACGGAGGTCGTCAAACTCATGAGTACAGTATCGATACTTTCTATTCGATATCGTGTCCCTACACCGGCGCCGCCACCGCCGCTACCGCTGCCACCGCTGCCGCCGCCGTCGCCGCCCGGCAGTTCGCAGCATGGAGCCGTACACGGCCGCGCCTCCCGCAGCGCCCGCGCCCGCGCCCCCCGCCGCCCCGGGCGTCGCACCCGCGCTCAGACCCCTCGTCAACCCTGATGAGTTCGGAGAGGTGGACACCTCCAGGTGATACGACTCATTTAAAAAAAAAAAAATATCTTGTCAGCTTCCACCCATCACCTCAGCCATCAGCTGTCTGGGACGATGACACTCATTTTCCATGATAAACCATATAACAGCCGAATTGAAAGACACCAATGCCATCTAACAACTCGTTACACTAAAATCAATATAATATGTATATGTAGGAGTATTTTCTATCTAAGGCAAAGTAAATTTTGGATATATACTCGCATGTTAAAATAAGTACTTAATCAACTAAGTGCTTAGTTCTAATCACATCTTGAGGGCAGTTTAAATCGTATAATTTTTTATAAATATGGTATTAGTTATTATAAATTAGCAAACATAAAATACGTAGTTACAATCGTCGAATTCTGGATACCTACAATCGTGATGCGTATAAAATGAAAGGAATTTCTCGTTAATCATCCACAACCAAGAGTTTCCTTGTAATTCGATAAAATGATTGATTAAAAAGTGAAGTGTTGTGCGCGGCGCTCGGCGCCCGTCGCGATGTTGATAAATACAAGCCTCCGACTCCGACCCACAGCCCGCAGACGGATTACGTGATCGATACAAGATAATACTCGAAGCCCGGATAACAGTTATCTAACTGATGCACTGTATTATAAGTTCGTTCAATAAATATTTGAAGAAATTTATAAAATAATTCTATTATTCTAAATGAAATTCTGTAGGTCGAGCTAGACGTGGTTGCGTATGCCAGTACTGCCAGTTGCTTGTTATACGAAGCCCGCCCGCGATCAATCACTCTACACCACGAAAACAACGTCATTAGCAATAACTACAACATATAACTTTGAGGTCTACTAAAACACTTGCCTTGCCTTTGTGTCGCACCAATTATGCCAAGAATAGGTTTACCATAAGATCCTGTAGTGCCTTAAATAACAGATATCCACAGTTTGACATTTTTTGTCTTAAGTTTAAAAAATCTATTTCATCTTGTTTTAATTGAATTGTTACTAGGCCCAATATTTTCAATCACTGTTTGTTACATTTTGTTTTTATATTGATTTTAACGATATACCTAGATAAGTAATAAGAGACTCATCAACATTTCAATTATTCAACATTTCAAATATTTATACAAAATCTTGTTTATCCCTGTTACAGTTATGAGATTTAATTAAAAATCTACTCAATGTAAAGTTTTATTACGTCGTGGAAACTGATTTGGTTTAAGCCAAATTAATCAAATATTGGTGTCGATTCTAGCATGATTATCTAAACCTAAATTTGACAGCAGTATATCCTTGTCATTCTCTATACAGAATGAAAAGGAGAGACTGATGTTAAATTTAGTTTTAAGTTTAGAGAATGACGCCAGAATCGGCACCATTTTGTACTTAAATATATTATAATAATAATAATAATAATAAATAATAATAATAATTTTTTATTGGCTTGAACAAAAATGTGATCTTAAACTAATGACCTGCATCTCCTTTTAAGCTTAAATAGCCTGTGTCAGGAGATACAGCTCTTCCTTAAAATAGATAATTATAACAATCCAATAAAATCTAAACAAACCATGACCAAGATCTAATTAGTTTAGACGTTTGGTGTTTATGCCTACATAACTGTAAATGTGGGAGTGAGTGTTTGTATTTTGTATGCATGTGTGTGTGTGTGTGTGTGTGTGTATGTTGTTGTAGTGTGTGTGCGTATATATGTGTCTTAGTGTGTGCAAGAATACTAGGTTCTGCTTAATAGTATCTCAATTTCATCATATGTTTTAGCTATTAACCATTTTATCAGTAGCTCTTTGCATTGATAATAAATTTTATCATATACATAAATATATTTATTAATGGTGTTGTATATGTGTATAGATCGACTATTGAACTGACTGCTAGCAAATAAAGTGTTGGTTCTAGGAGCACGAATAATAATGTCTTTCCTTCTCCTTTTTGAAATCTTAGGGTCATACGTTAGAGACTTATGTTTTTTTAGAATAACATGAACTATGTACAGCTTCCTTACAGATAATAAATTACTAATTTTGTAGAGGCACTCAGTAGAAAATCGCCTTTTTTTAAAATACATGACCTTAATGAGACTTCGCTGAGCGCGCTCAACATCAATAAAACGCGTTTTGGCTGCGCCACCCCATACAGGTATGCAATATGTCAATATAGATTGGGCCAATGAAATATAAATTTCTTTAAGGAGATCTCTTACCGAACTACAATCACCCTTATCCTTTTTTGGGACTGGTACTATGTACCTGAGTGTCTTGAAAATCCAAGTAAGCTTTCTGAGTCTTAAAGTTACATGTTCTAAATGCTGATACCAAGATAATCTCTGATCCACATAGACACCCAAATATTTAACATTCTCAACCTTTTGAAGAACCGGACAGTTACAATTAACTCCACCTATTCTAAAATTACAGCCATGTATCTTTAAACAAAAATCATTGTTTGGTTGTCCGTCATTATATAGACTGAAACAAATATAATTTGTTTTAGCAGTGTTGAGTGTAAGAAAATTATTCCGTAACCACTTGCTTATCTTATAATAAGGCTGTATGTTTTCCTTAAATAAAAAAAATAAAAAAGATACCCACTTTTAGCTATTCTATAGAAAATAATGGACACTTTCATACACTAACAGAGATTATAATAATTACCAAATAAATATAAATACTTACTAGGTACAATAAAGTTGAAAACAGTTGAGTACGGACTAACTAAATTTATATTTTATTGTGGTTCATTTTACCTATTGTGTAATTTGGACTCATTTTAGTTAATAATCTGTCATAACCTATAACGATTATAAACTTCATCATCATCATCATCAGCCTATTAATGTCCCCACTGCTGGGGTACAGGCCTTCTCAGGATTTTTTTCAGGATTATAAATTAGTATAATGAAACTCATACTATAGAACCGTGGTTCTTTTATAAAACAAGAAGCCTTCCTTTATTTATATAACCTGATTTTTGATTAAGAAAAAAGAAAAAAAAACTACTACAAAAGGAATAAGCCATTTGAACATTATGTTCTAAAATCAAATAGCGCGCGCTTCCCAAACTTCCTGTTACACACATCCGTCCCACTTCACGTAATCACTCCCAAAAAAAAAAATTGCACGAAAGCGAGAGAAGAGATGTACCACATCAAAAACTTTTTATTTTTATAACTATACTAATAAACGAAACTTACTTAACTCAACTGGAGCTATTTTTGGAGCCAGCTTAACATTTTCTATTGAATTTTTCTTTGGATTGTAAAACCTTGAAATGCATTCCTTTAAAATCCAAAAAATATTTTACAAAGTCCAGAAGATCCAAATCGCAATGTAATATTTTCTCATAACATCGTCAATATTAATTACATCAAAGTTATAAATTACAACTACTTAAATGTAAAGAAAATAGGGACTCGCACCCGCACCCTTCGCTATCCGGGCGAATGCACTGACCAATTATGCTACCGCGGCCCTAACAACAATAAAATTTCAACTACTTATTTTATTATATGTGTAATACAGATTCTTCGAGTGATATTATGTTCAAATCGCTTGGACTGAGTGGCGTCCTGGCGTCATCTCGAGTGACCGGAATTTTAATTGACTATAAAAGCACAAAATCGATACTCACACGAATGAGCTGTCGTTCTTGTTCAACGTAATATTTGACTCTGGTGTCATATCCCCTTATTTATAAACGAGGAATAACCTTAGACTAGTTACGCTGCGTTTTTCTCGTAACACTCAAGTGTCATTAAATAGACAAAGACAAAACACGTAGTAACTAATCAAAGCTTAATCTTCATTTATTAATAAGGGGGTAAGGTATTATAGTAACTTATAGTTTTGCACTCATTGAGAGGAACTCGATGGCGCCAATGAGGAGCTCGATGGCGCCAGTGGTCAGCGCGTTCGGCTGCGGTCGTTGAAGTTGAGCAACTTTCGCAGTGGTCGGTCATTGGATGGGTGACCAAAAATGTACTATCTCGAGCTCCTCCGTGCTTCGGAAGGCACGTTAAGCCGTTGGTCTCGGCTGCATCTGCAGTCGTTAGCACCCACCAACCCGCACTGGGCCCGCATGGTGGGTCATGGCCCAATCTCCCTAACCCATCCATAGGGAAGGCCTGTACCCCAACAGTGGGGACATTAATAGGCTGATGATGATGATGATGATAGTTTTGCACAACATTGAAAATGGCACAGCTAGCGGTCGCGACTTCCTCCGCGTTAACATTAGTTTTTGGGAACCCCGCAGGAACCTAACATTTTGCCGGGATAAAAAGTATCCTATGTCTTAATTCAAGTCATAAACTGTATGCGTATCTAATTTCATCTAAATCCGTTCAGTAGTTTTTACGTGATTGAGTAACAAACATACAAACTTTCACATCTCTTATCTATTAGACAAGTCCGTCCGTCCGTGGTGCTGTTTCAGCGGCCAAACCGTAAGAGATAGATAAAGAGTATGTTTAAGTTATAAGTTAAGAATAGTCTGATAAGACTACAAACCGGATTTGAGTAACGTAGCACTTCCGGTTTTCGAGAAATCACGAATTTCAAACGAAACCACACAAAATCTCCGAAGTTCTCAATTAATTAAATACATTTTTTTTTTTAATTGGTGAACATTTGGTTCACTGGTTTGCTAGTTTATAATAATACTAGTGGCCCGCCCTCGCTTCGCTTCGGTGTAGAGCTGTAGTGTAGACTAAAATGACTTCACATAATTAAAAAAAAAACTGAAAATGGTATATTTGCCTTTTCCAAACTTTTATTGACATCACGTCACTCAATTGTTTTGCCTTCCCGGAACCTCTCCTCTCCACTAACATGTGAAATTCATGGTATGGTATTAAAGTTCAAATTGACTTTTAAGTATTATTACGAATCGTTTATATGGGAGTATAGAAAACTGTTGGTTTTGGACTTTTAAAGGCATTTGTTTTATTTTTCTCTGCGTAAGAACCGTCCTCGTACTTCAAGGAATATTCTAAAAAAAGAA